GTGCGTTCGTTGGGTTGGGGGATAATTGCGGTCTGTGGGAAGTGACCACTTTTGGGACGCAGTGAGATGAAGTGGGTTGGGGTGGGACGCAGTGAGAGGAAGTGGGTGGGGCGGGGCGGGGGGTGGGCAGATGCTGAGGCAGGTGGGGGCGGGGTGGAGGCCAATGCCACGCCCTGCAAAACAACGACACAAGCACGGACCCCGCACACAGCCACAGCCCCGTGAGTGCAGGTGAACGCGAGCACGCGTGGAGCGTACCGCGTTTCTTCGCTCGGCGAGTGCGCAAACGACTAAGCAGCGAGTGGAAGCGATCAAAACCCGAGTGCGCTTTGGCGAGTTCACAGACGACCCCCTGCCCCATAATGGACCCTTAAATTGCTCATCGTCATTCTCAGGCTGCTATATTTTCCTTTGCTTTGGTTCGCTATTCTACGCCAACTTTAAATAAGAGACTTCGATGTATACATTGTGTGGTTTGGATGCGTGATCGTGTGGTTGCCTGGAAACGCCCCTGCCCTTTTTCAACAGCATCCAACAGGCTGTTCTGGGGCTCTGGAAGGATAGACCGAAAGTCACTTGGTACATGTGGCGGCTGTCTGAAATTCATTCTCCCGGTAACGCCGACGCAATCTTCGAGGAGAAAAGTGTTCCCGACCTCTTTCGTGTCCAACTGGACCAAAAAACCTCAACACTTCAACAAGCTGACTTCTGCTGGGGGTTGTTGCGGCCATCCTCAGGCCGAGCTTTCCAGCGACCAACTTAATCTGTATGCAGTCTGCGTGCATTGCCGGCAAATACATGTGGTTCATTCCACCTTCCGTTTAGCAAACCACCCTCGCACAAAACTTTCACGACACAACTTTCGTGACCTCCGTCGCGACGCTTTCGCGGATGGCTTTTACCACAAGGTCGATCAACCTTGACTAAACATGGGAACCCAAACAGTTGGAAAATACAAGAACAACATTGCAGGTCCATCCGTTCTGAGCAGTTCTTGCCCTCTTGCTGGTGCTCAGCAAGGAATGACCTTGTCCGGGTGGGGTCATGAACCTTTTGGGCCCTTCTCAAGTTGAAACCACCAGTTTGGATGGCTTTTCTCAGTGTCCTTGCATTTCTCATTCCCCTACCGCACCAGCTCTGGTCTTCAAACCTCTCGAGCCCCTTGACAACCATCAAAAACCCAAAACGCGCAAAACCCGCAGCACGTCGTTTTTTGGGTCCATGCGTGGGGCCTCTTCCACTCGCTGCCGGGGTGCTCCCTGGGTACGGGGGGCAAGGTCGCCAGCTCCAAGCCATCAAAGGCCAAGGCATCCTCAGAAAGGTCGTTCAGCTACCTGTAATACACTGGGGCATCATATATATATATATATTAACCACCATCCCTTCATGCCAAGAACCAAACCTGCTGGTGCTCAGCAGGGAATGGCCCTTATACACCATCCCTTGTGGTTTCCGTTCATTCCCGCAGTCCCTACCTAGCGCACCAGCAAGCAAACCAACATGTAGGAATTGAGAAAACAACTTTCACACAAGCGTTAGCCCTTCACTGCGAGCCTGCCAAGCATATTTTAACACGGTGGTTTTGCATTGGTGGCTGGGGGTTGAAAAGCCGCAAACAAGAATCAAACAGCACTTACAAGCCACCTGAAGCATGGAAGTGCCATTGATGTGTTGGAGTGCAAGTCAATCCCCGCAAAGAGAAGCCCAAGCAACGATCAACTGCTACCCCAAAGGCCCCCTCAACAATCAACAGGCACCATAAGCAGAACCCGCAACCTCAAAAAAAACCAGAGGATTGCAGGGAGGGAGGGAGGGGAGGGGAGAAGAGGGGAGGGGAGAGGAGGGGAGGGGAGGGGGAGGGAGGGGAGGGAAGGGAGGGGAGGGGAGGGAGGGGAGGGGAGAAGAGGGGAGGGGAGAAGAGGGGAGGGGAGAGGAGGGGAGGGGAGGGGGAGGGAGGGGAGGGAGGGAGGGGAGGGAGGGAGGGGAGGGGGGAGGGAGGGAGGGAGGGGAGGGAGGGAGGAGGCGAGGAGGAGTGGAGAAGAGTTGGCAGGTTCATGGGTTTTGGGTGGGGTGTACAGCAAACGTGAAAAGGCAGTCTGATGATTCTTCCTTACTTGTTGTCTATTACGAAAGTATAGTTAAACCCAACAGTATAACGTCCAGGAACTGAGGGAGTGAGACACCCTGGCTTCTTGGGTACAAGCCCGCTAAGGTGTTGAGTGTATACATGTGTTTGGAGTGCTAGACTGGCACACTAGTTGCCACACTGGGCGCCAGACTTTGTGTTGGCCGTCTTGAGTCATAAGTCGTTACAGGTTCTTAGCACCAACCACGAGCCCGCAATCCAAAATCCTGTGGGCTACTAGCCAAGCATCTTGCACGTCCTCTGGCAAACATGCTGTGCGCAGCAGTGGGGAAGGCCCCTTCACCCACTCCACACTGGCGCCAGATCTGCCGCCAGATGACACCACCGGGAATATGGCATCACTCCTGAACCGCAAACACTTCCGAATGGCAGTCAGAAGGGCTTGCAGTCTTACTCCGAAAACCCTGGCACAAGGATGGCCTGAAGTCAGTTGCCCCCAAAGGGACCCAGAAGTATAAGCTGATCATTTTTGGGAACCAAAGCGCCAAAAAAAAATTGCCAAACCTGCCAAACCAGGGAGTCGAGCTACCGGCTCAAAGCGGTTTCCCCGTTTCCGAAGCCGGAAAACCCCCGTTGGCCGCTGCCCTGAAGCTGCAAGGAAGGCAAGCCGGGTTTGCCGTGGCTGGCCAACTGCCACCAAAAAGAAACATCTCAAACAGGGTACACTCTTCCACACACATTCCGAATGGGAAGGCTTTTGGATGCTCTAGGGAAACCCTCTTCCAGAAGAATTCCGCCAAGGTTGAATTGAAGAAAATCGGCTGTGTGCCATGTTCCCCTGGAATCTGGGATAGGCACCGACCCACATCTCAAGATACTCAGACTCAGGGAGTGAGCCACCAATCGAAGGTTTCACGTTTGGCTTGCCTCCAGAGGGCATCATTCCCCAATGCATTCAAACAAAGACGCTTGTGTATGACCAACCATGAAGCCAAGGTCGAAGAAACCTACCTCAAAGGCCAGTTCGAGAGCCGCCCCCTGAAGAAACATAAAATGTGGACACCCTCTCCAAACGCCCTGGGGTCTATTAGGTACGCTTTTCTTCCCCAGTCGCATTGGGTTGGATAATCCTGGACCGAAACTCGGATACACTAGGGTGAAGTTCAACATGGCCTATTGTGGGGAAGTAGAGGGGATGACTATGGTAGGAATGGCGCCATCTACTTTCGCCTGAAACGACCAACCCTTCAAAACCAACTTGGAAACCAACAAACATACTGTGGATGGGCGAAATCCTGCACCACTTTCAAACCATGTTGGTTGGGTTTTACAAGGAAACATGATTCCAGGGTTTCTCAGGTGGTGCGAAATGGATTTCGTCCATCCACAGTACTAGAAAGGGCACCCTCCAAAAGAACAACCCCCCCCACATCTTCTCAGAGGCTCAGCGCGGCTGAGAAGGTCGCCTTTGCCAGCGTGCTTTCCAATACGCCTTTGCTCTTGCCCAGCGACAGCAGGTGGAAGAACTTGTCCTTGGCACTTTTTCGGAGACCTTGTATTGGAACCAAGGATTAATAAAACCCTGGTTTGTAAACCCCGTGACGGGCGGTCCACTTACAGGTCACCAATTTAGAGTGTAGAATACACCTAGTGGGTGGTAAATTGGTTGATGAATATGAGGGGGTCCAATTCATTTTAATGGGGATCTGGATCACTTTTGGGGATGGCACCCCCTACTGTGGATGGACGATTCGCAGGGTTTCGCTGGTGGTGCGAAATGGATTTTGGCCATTCACAGTATCAATAAACCGGCTTCCATTGTCGAAATGGGTCTGTCTCAAAACAGGGGGCCCAAAAAAAATGTGGATTTTTCGGTTTCCCTTTGATGCAATTTTAGGGATTCTTAGGTGGCGCGAAATGGGTTTCGTCCGTCACAGTATGACACATGGACAGGGGGCCTAGAGCGGAGTCCATAAATCTTCCCACTCGGGAACCCTACATTGTACCATGGTGTACGGTTTCTTGACTTGCAGTAAGGAATCCAGCTGTTTGAGCACCCAGCCCAAACAGAATCCACCGGTTTGTCTGCGTCATCTTTCCAACGCGGGGCAATCCTGCACCTAAAACATGCCCTGGAATGGTTTGTATGCATACCTCTGCATGCACCTTTTATTGCACCTTTTTGACCGAATACACAATGTGGGCCCCCGCAGTGTCCAGGCAATATATACATGGTTGGGGTACCTCGTTTGATCAAACACAAAGTGGAATGCTTGCGGAAAGCAAGAGTTGCGATGCCGGATTGGGACTCTCACCCCTACTGTGGATGGACAACCCCGTTGGCATGGATGAAGCCCTAGGAGGATAAACCACCTAACAACTGGTGCGACATAGATTTTGTCCATCCACGGTATGACTAGTTCCCAGATTCCCGTTGTTCTGCACAGAGCACCAGCCCAAGCACCATATGCGTGCACGTTGCGGGGGGGAGGGCAGTGGCTTGAGGGTACCAGAATACTTGGATTTGCGAAGCTCACATTGTGGATCCATGACCAAAAAACGGGCCCAAGGATAGAACTCATTCCTCCACTGTCAAAAGATGTCATACGTTGTCTTCCATTGAGCAGCCAACAGGCACCAACATCGGAATGTTGTTCAAAAGATTGGTGCTTCTGGATGTGGACGACTCTCGCCATTCGTCCACAAGATCAGCTAGGGGGTTGTCGCATTTGAGCCTGAATCTGGCTTCCACAATCGCTCCATGTGACCCGCCAACCCATGCAGACACAAACCGGATCCATACGTGTCCCGGATCTGGGGCAAACTGCCAATAGAAAGCCGCAGCCTCCAGAATTGGGGATGGAGGAGAATGCAGAGCGCACAGAGTTGCTTAAGGCTGACAGCTTTCGCAAAAATCGAAACGAACCCCAGTACATCCCATTTGGGTGTTGCTCAGCCCGGGAATTTTTGCGGGGCCGAGAATCCACATCCTGAGCTCGCTTCACCTTGGATCGGCATTCCAGCATTACCGTCTTCAGGCTCTGTGCTGCGGGGCCTTTCAGCATCTCCAGGTTCCAGGCAATGTGGTCAGGGCTGTCTGCTCCGGCGGTCAACGGTATCACCTTTCCTTGGCAGGGGAGCAAGTGTGTCAAGGGGTGTGGTTGCTTTCCTTTTTTTTCCGGCCACAAAAAAGACGCACCCTTATGCAGCTGGTTCGATCAAGTGAACATCTCGCGGCTCGACTCAAAGCGAACCCTTTAAATAGGTTTCCGCCACACAAAGGTCCCGGCTTTCCGGGGCGAACACTGAGTCGACCTGCAGTCTCAGAAAAATATTGGCCTCCCCCCCGCAACAAGGATCTCGACTTCATTGCGTTTCTGCCCCAATTGTGATGCTTCTACAAAACCAAGCAAAGGGAACAATTGGGGAAGCCCTTCCAACAAAACAAGTTTGCTTGTTTGTTTCTGTGGTTATTCACTCGATTGTTTGTGTGTATGTTTGTGTGTATGGTTGTTTGTTTCTTTGTTGTTTGTTTGCTTTTGCTTTGGGGGAAGTTCATGAAACACAACTCACTTCCGATCGAGTGGATTGGCCAGAAAAAGTAGCCACTTTTTGTCTAAGCCACAAACATGTTTCAAGGAACTCAGGGAGTGAGACAAGGAAACACTCGAAGATAACGCAGCCCCGTCAAAACCACCAAGATGGTCTTCTAAAAGAAGCAGAAGAAGTCCAGGAAGTGAGATTCAAGGCTTGGGTCCAGCTGAAAATTGGAAGCAAATAACTCGATCGATCCCTGGCCTGAAAGCTCTGCATTGGATCTGTATGCTTAAGTTTTCTGAAAAAAGTAAAACCTGAAGTAGTATTCGGGTTTCTTTTTAGCACCGGGGAAAGTGGCACATATTCATTTCAGCAAATGGAAGTCAAGCGCCTGTAAAGGCTTTGGGAGGGATCCAACTTGAGTTTCCCTGTAAAACACGGGAAACATATCACATTTACTTCAGCAAAGGAAATGGATGCTGTGGGTGGACAAAGTCTCGCACCACTTTGAAACCATCAAAAACCATAGTTCGTTGGTATTTTCAGGGGAATCAGCTTTCCAGGGCTGCTTAGGTGGTGTCAAATGATCCAGTGTAGCAACACTCCGTGAAGAGCGGCTGGAGGAAGACAAGATGAAGGTGCCGCTAATCCAAGAAGTGGCTCCACTCGCCTAAGTCACAATCGGTAACCCTGAAATTGGCGGCTTGGATTCGTGGTTTGGGCATTTCCCTTGGTTGTAGAGGGTACCCTCCCTCCTAAAATCATGGAAGCTGACAAGAGGTTCTAATAAGATTTATGTTCTTTTAGGGAACCCCCCGGTCCACTTCCATGATTGTTGAAAAAGGGTAAATGGGAAACCACCCCGGAGCAGCTTTGGGCCAAAGTCTACCCAAAGCCGTGTAAACAATTAGAACAGCGGCAGCAAAGAAAGCTGCAGTTTGCTTTGCGGCCAACAAGTAAGACAACCCAAAAAGCAACAAGCCAAAGACGAAGTCTCAGAAAGCAAACACACATGGATCTTCATTCGTTACACAAATGTGTGTGTCCCTTGGGTGTTTCGTAGCAGACATTTGCCAAAAAATGGATTCGAACATTTAAGTATTGCGGCTGCTTCTCTGGAAACATAACCGCACAACGGGCGCAAATACCTGCAGAACGAGCGCAAATACCCGCAAAACGAGCGGGAATGCGAATCATGTAGCAACCGGTATTTTGCAAGAAGCCCTCGTTCATGAAACAAGTGTTTTTTAGGGAACGAGCACTTCTGTGATCATTGGGCGAAAATAGCTTGCCCAAGCATGTTGTTTCGTGACAAACATGTATGTAGCAATGGAAGGTCCAGGCATAGTGCAGAACCAAAAGGCAAGCTAAAAACAACAACACTCGCAAACAGTCCATGTCCCCGAACAAGCTGGGCAACTAACACATATGACAGAATAAACGAAAACAATCACAGCATACACACACACACAAGCTACTGCGAGATACCAGAACCAACAAGACACACTACAAAAATGGAACCCACCTAAGAAGCGCTGGTTTCTGATTGGATTCCCCTGCAAATGCCAACAAACTTTATGGTTTCAACCATGGTTTCTTAGGTGTTGCAAAATGGATTTCGCAACCATGCACAGTATGGGCGTCATTTTGCGGGTACCCTTTTCTTGTTGCTTGTTAAAAGGAAAGCCTTGGGGTTCCGATTCCTTTTTCGAGGCGAACCCATATTGGCGCAAAAACACTCGCCGAGCAAGGTGGACTTCCCCAGATATTTGATTCTCCAAGAAAACTTTGGTGCTCAAGGCTACCCAAGGGGCAGTCCAACAAAATGGGAGCCTGATTGGCAAAACCTCACATAGGCGTCTCGTTTTGAGGCTCGGTTTTGAAGGGAATCCAAGAGGAAAGCCGGCCAGTTTGGGGTCCAAATCCTAAAAAACGGGTAACCCTTCGCTAGACTTCCAAAGTCCATCAAATAAATGGCCGGGGTAGCAAAGTACACTTCTTTGGAAACGGCATTTTTTTGATGGTTTGGGAAGCGCCGTCATGTTTCATCGTGTTCAAATCAAATGGCACATGGCTTTAAGAGTCTAGGGCCTTGATTGGTGGTTCGCACTTGTGGCTCCCTGGTTCTTGTAGAGGATGAATGGAAACCACCCAACTAACCCAACCTCTGGTCTCCGAACAACCCATGGAAGCTGAAAAAGCAACGACACGCCCACACGTCCATTTGCTTAAGTCTCTGGAAAAAAAACAGCATATTTCCAGTAGTGATAGAGTTTCCCCTGAACACAAACAGGAGAAAATACAAAGCACCACAGGATAAGATTAAACATATATATATATATATACATATATATTTACATATATATATGTATGTATACATATACCAACACACCAAAAAAACAGCAACAAGGGCACATAAACAAACATATGCCAACACACACACACACACAAAAAACAACAAGGGCACATAAAAAAAACATTTTCCAACAAAAAGAAAAGCACTTGGGGAATCCTGGGGAATGCAAATGGAAGTCACCTCACCACCCCTCACCGCGCGCAGTGGCCATAGGCGTAGGAAGGCCACAGCAGACCCGGCCGTCGCCGCTGAGGTCCTCAGGCGCCGCAGCGGCGGCCAAGGGAAGCAGCGCACCACCCAGCGCCTTGTCGAAGAGGCTCCGACCTGCGATCCACAAATCGGCCTTTTGGTTTGCTCGAGTGTTTCATGCCATAGGCTGGATATTTGGTTTGCTGGGGTCAAGTGCCATCCTGGACCAGCCATGTACTTGAACAACGCTTCTAGGGGTAGCTTCCATTTCTATTCTTTCCAGGGATCCGGAAAAAAAGGATCCGGTTGTTGAAAAAACCATGGCTGAAAAGAATGGGGAACCAACCCTAGAGCAAAGCAGCTTCCATCCGCAAAGGTTTCCAACCAACAGGAAACAAAGGGACCCGGTCTTGCAGGATTTACAGTTTCTTGGAGGACAAACTTGGGGCAGTTGAACAAAACCAGGTCCTCCAGTAGGCGAGGCCAAAAGGGTTTGGTTGAGATCTCGTTTCGAGCTCCTTGCGCGTTTGTTGAGAAATCGGCCTTGGTCACTCCAACAGCGAGGTTAGAATAAGGGAACCCTTTTCTCTGTAGTCTATTTTAGACACGGGGAACCCACCCCCCAAAAAAAAGAGTACTAGGGGCACTACTGGGGGACCTAGACCAAGCAGCTTCCGACCCTTCCTTACTTCCCATCGAGTGGACTATCCAACTCAACAAAAGGACGCCAAGAGTGACAAAGTGACTAAAGTCCATGAACTCAGGGAGTGAGACAAGGAAACACTCGCAGACAACGCAGCCCCGCCAAGACTACTAATCTGGCCTTCCCAAACAGCTTCAAGTCAGAGCTCCTCCGTTTGGTCTATTCCCACCAGAACCTACCCTGTGAGTTTCCACCCCCAAACCACTTTCAGCGACTTCATGGGATATGCCACGAGAAAATGCCACTATATACAGGGTATATACCAGCTGCTGCTCCGTTTGGTCTATTGCCAGCAACTAGTTGCAGCGTCTTAAACATCACCCATGGCCTGTGGCTAGTTTGTCTGGCACCACGTACAGGCACCATGTAAAGGGTATATACCCCAATTTATGCTGGGTGGAGCTTCGGTTTGGGGGTGCTGGAAGCTCTAGAAAACGGTTTGGGGGTGGCAAATCGGAGGAATTTCTGTAGGATATCTCAAAAGAGTACTAAAATGGAGTACCAAAAAAGGACCAGCAAAGAAAAAACAATTCGGTGAAATTAACAAAATGTGTTCTAGAGGATTTGGTGATTTGGCTTTGGATTACATTGCAACGCGGCTGATGTGACATTTGACCATTTGGAGGAGGGGGGACTAATTCTACCCATTTGCCCATCGGGTGTTGATTATCTTGAGGCAACCGACATGCGCCATGGTGCAAACACTTCAACGTGGAGTGACTTCGGTCGTCCCAGTCGTCAGCCCTTCTGGGAATTCTGGCCACCAAGGATCATGACTTACATGAGGAGTTGTGTACGGGATAAACTGGGGCTGGCCGGCTGTCCGCCTGAAAAAGCAACGCCATGCAGGAGACTCACTTGCCAAAAGCTACGCTTTGCTCAAACGGTACTGCCGACCCCATATTCGTCAACCCCAGTTTATAAATAGGGGGGTGTCCCTGGGGCTTAGTGGGGAGTCATCACTTTTACGTGGTCAACAGTACGCCACAACTGCAGAGCCAACTTAGCACGGTTGAGGAGGATGCGCCGAGCGAATCGCAGTGAGACCGCGAGCCACTGATTCAATATTACTTGGTTGCTGCTGACCCCCCTGCAAAAAGTGTAACTTTTTCGGGTTTAGTAGAAAACACAGTTATTTCCCAAAAAGTTAAAGTCTAAAGATCCAACCCAATAGCAGTCAATATTTATCCGCCGGGCCACACAGCGTCCGCAGCGGCTCCGACGACAAGGCCAGGTTGTACACGACAACCCAAGCACGCACAGTGCTCTGCCTGCGCGGGCCATGCAACAGCCACACTCCACGTGCTCGACATAACTACATACCAGCGTTGTTTAGGCTCTTGAAAAGAAAACGAAAGAAGAAAGAAAACCGCCCTTCCCTTCCCAGTGACCATTTGCCCAGTTTTTCGGTGGTCAAAGACCTCCCCACGTGCTGGGTGCTCAATTTTAATACCCCCAACCGAGCATCCCCTATGCTCGGAGGAGTGGGCACATATCAACGTGCAATCCGGATTTCCGTGTTTATTCGTAACTAACTGCAAAAAGCGTCGCATAAGACATGGCTTTGTCTTCTCACATAAGACAATCCCTAAGAGGGGCGTCTGGCTTCCGTCGAGCTCCGCTGAACCGAAACCAGTCCACAAGCAGATGTCTACACACCAAAAGAGTCATGGCTCCCCAATGGGAGACGCCCAAATAGGCTAAGTACATCTACCCCCTACACCCAATACCCACCGTTTTCAGGGTATGATGTCGGCCCTCTACAAAAAATGGAGGCATTTACCACGGAAACCCAGGTTGTTCAAAAAATACCCTAGAAAAAGTGGGTATCTGGAGTAGGGGGTAGGGGCTCTTAAACGCATTCTATATATATATATATAGTTAGTCCTAACATCCAAGCAAAATGCACCAAAGTATAGTTACATATCGTACATAGCCACGACGCACGTCACATTTTCACGGGTTCTTTGAATTGCAAGGCATGGCGGTCCAAGGAAAGCTTTGAACTCCAAAACATGAAAGCGGCTCCCATCAGGACATTGAATCGTAGTGAGCTTGTTGTAGCCCAGCCCCAAGCCGAATCGGTGCTTTAAGCTGCAACAAAATCCATCTGACAAATTCCCTCACTCTTCTCGGCAAAACATCCCTCACCGCAACTTCTTCCGGAGTGTGAAATGAGCGTACTGAAACAACAAAGGCTCATCCTCTGTTTGGTTTCCTGCTTGGGGATACAAATGCCAAGGCATTACATACAATTGAATCTGCAAGCTATTGTCAACTGTAGATTGGTTCCAAAACCTGAAATCAGGACTCTGCAAGACAAGGACGACCTCATATTGAACTCGTATAACCCTCGACTCGGCGAGCTCGCCATTTCTCCCTTTGGCCGGGGCACTTTGTGGCAAGGCTTGAAGCGATGCGCTTCCACACGCACACGGTCATGTCCTTCTGAAGCTTCGACACCTCGAGCGAGTTCGCGATCAAAGTTCCTTCACAGCCTTTGCCTTTTCTTGCTTTCCTTCTTGGTTTAAGGGACAACGGTTTGCGTTATGTTTATGCTGGAAAGGGCTCCCTTGGCTTGCTTTTCATTGACTTGTTGTGTTTCTGTTGTCCTGTTGGTTTGTCAAGGGAAACACTCCCACTGCTGGACTTGTATTCTTCCAGGTCAAGCAAATGGAAGTGTGGGTGTGTCTTTGTTTGCGGCTTCCGTCAACTTGCCGGTGCGATAGGTGGGAATGACAACAAGTCCTGGTGTTGGGGATGAACCGTTTGGGGTCAAGGAAAACCACATCGGGCTTTATCTCGTGGCTGAAGATGAGCTCGCTTTTATTTTAGTCCAGCTCAAGGCTTTAATTTGAGCTGGACCTTCTCTAGAAAGGCTTGCGGATAGACAGTTACTTCCACTTGTTTAAGAGTACGTTTTGTTCCCCTCTGTTGGAGTTAAAGGGAATCTATGACAACTTCAGTTCAGAAGATGTTGTACTTCCCCTGGTGGTTTACAGGAAATCGATATTACTACTGAAAATATGCATGCTTCTCCCTGTAGTTTATACACTTTCTTTTCCTTGTGCTTTGACTATCTTTTGGGAATGGATTGAAGCAACCCCGTCAATTCTGACCACTCATGCTGTTTCCGGTGTTTCATTTGGCCACGCATTTCCCTGAAACACAGCCGTGAGTGACACTATCCCTGTCTCCTCCAAGAAGTGGGAAGTACATGTTTAGACTTGCTTGACCTCCTTCCGCCCGAAGAAATCAGATCCAACATTGACCGTTGGAGAAGTCAGGCAATCCTGGGTGCGAAAGAAAGAGACCTGCCAAGATGTTTACCCATCAATGATCCTCTAGTTGATGGGTATGCGTATCACATTCAAACCCCTGGGGGTAGCTTCGGTTTGGGGGAAGCGGACGCCATCTTAGAAGCACACCACATGGCATGTTTCTGGGGTATGGAAGCCCAGAAAACTTGGGAAGGTGACTCACAGGGGTTGACGCAAATTCGGCGCTGGGTCGCTCCCCCCCCCCCCCCGCCCGCGCGGGAGCAATTTGCATAATTTTGCAGGTGATTGTTACAGGTTGTTTTTCATGTGTTTCCAAAAGGTCTGCGAGCGATTCAGTCACGCAGCCGCGTGTTTATGGCTTTTTGCGGAGCAGGGGCCATCCATGGAACCCAGGCTACCTCTCTCCATATTCACAGGGTCTGGAGGGGAGGGTGGGAGGAAGGGGAGGGGGAGCTTAATAAGAGCCCCCCCGATATATGCCTTTAGGCTGGGCGTCGCTTCGTTCGAAGGCTTTCAGCACTGCAGCCGGAGGGGTGAGAGTGGCGTAGGCGTTCCATCTCCTAGCTTCCTCTTCGGGGGAAGAGGTCGATCGACTTTTCTGGGTTTTGTGTGGGTGTGTCCGGAACGCCTCTCCTTCGGAGCGATTACACACCAAACTCAGACAAGCATTTTCTTGATGCGTGTGAAAAAACTTTCATTGTCAGGGCCCTTGGCCTTGTTTGGCTCATTGAGGCCCATAAACCCGAGGCCCGGCTAGGGGTTTGGACTCCCCAGCCTATTTGCCAAGAAAGATCACGGGAAACCAAAAGAGAATCCCTTGCAAGTTGCCCAGCGTGTTTTTACCCAATCAAACAATACAACTTGTGGGAATTTAACTAAACAAAATGCAAACCCAAGAAAACGGATGCCTGGGAACCCAAGGAAAATCATGGGATTCCCTCTCTTGCACTGGACGAATTTAAAAAACAAAACAAAAAAAAACAAACACCTGTGTTGAGCGCGGAACCCGATCTTGCAGCACCTTCGTTGGGCTTTTCGAGTTCCCAAACCTCCAGTGCCCTTCTTTGGTGCTCAAAATTGCAGCGGGACGCCCCTTCCGAAAGTGGAAAAAAAGGGAATCCCCCCCAAAAACAGACACACATACTGGAAAGCCCGAACAAGAATACGCACAACCCCAGCCCTCCCCCTCCCCCCCCACCGGCAAAAAAGAAAAAGAGAGCAAACCCCTCCAAACAAAAAAAGGAACCCCAGTTTTTCGATCGCCGCGCCTGTTGCACCGTGGTGGGTAAGGAGTTGAAGAACTCCTGGTGTGCCTTCTCCTCCGTTTGCTTTTTCGTCCCTTGGGAAAATGAGCAAATCAGTCCAATACTGAAATCAATTCCCTTTCCACCAACAAGTTAACACAAACAACATCGTTGTCGAATGGAAGTTTTGGCTGGACTGTGAGAGAAGCCAGAAGCAAAGCATTTTATTAGGGGGCCAGTAAATTGCAAAACACATAACATTTCTTGGTTGTTGAAACTGTGTACCTGTTTTGTAGGTCCAAATTGAAAAATCCGAGCTGTTTCAACCAACGCAACAAAAAAGTATAGCTCACACCAGCATCCCTTGCACCAACAACCCGGCACTAACCTTAGTGCTGCAAGCTGTTCATCCCCCCGGGAAAAAAAAAATCCTGTTGAAGCCAACAGGTTCGATAATAATAACATATCCACATTTGGACAAAGGGAAAGGGGAACAACTGGTTCAATGGTTGCTGTTGTTTTTATCCATTCTGGTTATTTCGAGAATACAAAACAACCATTTGATTTGTTGTTCAATTGTTGGTTTCAAGAAATGGACAACAACTCAATCATCCATTTCCGCCAAAGTCCTGCGCTTGGTCCATGGATACCGTATGCTGGCAGATCAAGCCGGTGCCGGCGCCGGAGGTCTCCAGGCGGATGCTACGAAGCCACTTGGCGAACAAGAGCATTGAGCTCGCCTGAAAAAATGCCGAGCCGCGCGCAAGCACAACCAAGGCTTGCGCCTCCAAATAGAGAAAGCCATGACTGGAGCCATTCTAGGACCAACTTGCTAGCCCCAAATGGACATACCCGGTACAAGGGTTCTACAGGGTACCCCTATCCATCCCTCAGTTGCGATCGGTGCGAGAGATGCGGGGAATGAGATTGACGGAATGACCCGGGGGCTGGGGATAGGACCTAGTTTGATCTTGCTGGTGCTCAGCACATCGCACCCGAACGACAGGGATATACCGGATATACCGGGATCCGGGACAGCTTTGGTGAATTTTGGAGCTACCCATGCTGGGGGCATTTGGAGTTGCAAACCCTGGAAAAACCCGGGTTTCGCAAAAGACAACCAAAAACGTGAAAAAAAGGAAGGTAATTGGAGGTTCAGGGCAGGACAAGTCTCAACAGAGACTGGTCCCTGGCCCCCTCGGCCGCAAAGAAAAGCCCTCACCCCGGCCGCAAAGAAATGGCTCCCAAGCCGCAAAAGAAACGCCGCCTGTGGCTTTCACTGGATCGGATCTTGGGCAACCACTCGTCGGAGAGGGGTCATTCCTAGTGGCTTGGATCCAGTGAAATGCATGTTTTCGGGGCTGGCTCTTTGCGAAAGATCTCAGAACCCTTCATTCAGAGGCAACAAAAAACAAGCATCCTGGGTTCAAGCCGGACTCCACGGAAGACACCCTATGGTGTCCAGTGCCCCCAAACCACCCCCAGAGACGTTTTTAGGGACAGCCATATATACACCCCAACCAACTGGGTCCCGGTAGCTGCGGTTTGGGGGCAACGGAACCCATCTTAGACCCACTGATGGACGAACTGCTGCACCAATTTGACTCGGTTGAAACCATAACGTTTGTTGGTGTTTACAGGTGGGTAGGGGTCAACATTAAACCACCAGGGGACCACAGGTTTTGGTCCATGTTTCCATTTACCAGGATTCGGTACATATTTTTGACCCACAACCAGGTGGTTTTCCATCATTCCAGGTTTCTCAGGTGTCCACAGGAGACCCTACCTTAGAGCTCCCGAAGCGCCTTTGGGGGTCCAACCCAACCCCTGTCTCAGCCTTTGGGAGGGAAGCCTCGAGCCGAATCCGAAGCATACTGGACGAAAAAGCTCGCACCCGTTTCAATAAAAACCAATGGCGACCCTTTTTGGAACCATCTATTTCAGGAAGAATTCTTGAAAACACAACTTCCATTGGACAAAACAAACATCCAGCATAGTGATAGATACCCGCGGGGAAAAAAACAAAAAAAAACAAAGAGGAAATAACAACTATTCTTAAACAAATGGAACTCTGAAGAGGCAAAGTTCCGAATGGGCTATCTCAACGTCCAAGAAGAATTCTGGCGAACACAAATCCTTCCATTTCCTTAAGCCCGGAACAAAATATAAAAATAATACTTCAAGTAGCGAAAACGATTCCTTTTAATAACCAGCGGGGGAAAATAAAAATACACAACAAAAAAACAATTAAACAAATGGAAGAATCGAAGGAACCCTGCAAGCTTTTCCCAGTGCCTCTTCCGCCACCTGCTGCAGGTCCCTTTGCACCTCCTCCGGCGTCACCGCTTCACCCAGCTTGGATCGCTGCGTCCGGAGGGGAAGGCGGAACACCACCGGATACCTTACCAAGCCTTGACAGGCTAGCAAAGACGCTGGGAAACTTTGGGTTGTCACCACTAACTGGTCTCCAAGTAAATAGCAAAAGCAAAAAAAAAAAGAACAAAGCAAACAACAAATAAACAAACAAGCAAGCAACAAACAAAAAACTAACAAACAAACCAACAAGCAAACCAGCAACACGAAACAAACACGGAAACCAAACTAACTAAAATTGCGTGCCAAGCTCAGGCAAAGCACTTCTTGCGAAATGCCTCGAATGGCGCGAGGCTGTCTGGAAAGTTCTCTTGCCTCAGGGCAAAGGTTCGGACCCACTGGGGCGTAACTCCCTCACTAACCCCTTAATACTGTGGATGGACGAAATCCTGCACCATGTAAGAAGCCCTGGAATGATTACGTCCCTGTAAATACCAACGAACAATGGTTTCCCATGGCTTCAAAGTGGTGCAGGATTGCGTCCATGCACACTAAGGCCTTGCTAAGGATTTATCCTTGGCTTCTGCTGGGCTTATCCTTATCCTGGGATCGCCCCCCCCAAGCAACCCTTCAAGGTCCATAAGAATTGAAACTGGAATTTGAGCAAGGCTTGCCCTTCCAGGTTCTATGCTTTGTTTATCTCAAGGCGTTGAATTCCCCAGGTCAATCAGTGGCAAGCTGGCAATCACTGAAAAGCAACCGACTCTGCTTATGATGTAATCGTGCGGGCAGGATTCTGAATGGTTAATGTTCTGGGACATGCGCTGGCATAAAGTTAAAGCATAAAAACAAAACCAAACATAAAATAACACGCCAACCCTCTTCCCAACAACCCTCGTTGTTGGGCATGAAACTAAGCGTTAATATGAACAACAAGCAGGACAGCACACAAGCGGGCAAGGACTCTGACTTGCTGGCTTGATGGGCGACAAATGAGTTGGAATGACCCCGGAATCAACCCTCCCTCCTGATTTCTTTTCAGGCGGATCCCTAGGTTCCTTCTGGTTGACCCCCTACTGAGCACCAGCAAGAACCCGCTCGGCATGCTCAACGAACGAGTGGTCCGTGCTAATCCAGAATGATTGGATTCCCTTCCAGTAAGGAAATACGTTTCCTTCAAGTCAGGAAACCATCCATTTTTTCGGGAGTAGGGTTCATTCATTCCAAACATCCCTACGATTCCCTGAGAGCCACCAGCGCTGGCAAAGCTGCAGCTGGCGGAGGTCGTACTGCTTGCCCCGCCGCTGGCCCTCACGCGCTACGAAGCTCCGAGACACGTCGAAGAAGTGGAGCCGGCCGTTGGCGCAGAGCTGCGGGCATTCACTGTACCTGAACGCAGCGCGCCTCTGCAACGGTTTGAAAACGGGTTTGGATATGAAAAAGCGATTGAATCAGAATAAACGGTTTGGATATGAAAGCGGTTTTGGATATGAAAACGCTTTTGGATTAAAACCGGCTTGGAATATGAACAAAAGTACTAAAAGAGTAATAAGAAAAAAACAAAAGGGGAAGAACTGGTGAAATCCACAAAACGCATCCAAACTGTCTTCCAGAGAAGCGCTACCGCATCTGATTCGCCTGGGCTAAGTCGTGTGATTCGCTTGCATAATAGTCTGCAGTGAATAGAACTCACGCACTAAGCTGATCATTGCAACAATCATCCTTCCCAATACTGAGTTAGAATTAGCAAAAACCAATTCCAAACTCCTGGTTTTGCAAGCAACAGTCACTAGGCCATAGTAAATCCTCGCAAAGCTAGACCAAGCACCTCCAAACTAAATAAAGCCACTATTACTATGGACAATAACACAAATGCTCCTGTCTTCCTTCCTTCAAAGCTTGCATTCCAAATCATAAAGCAACCCTTTGTTCTACCTTCTCTAAGCAAAGCCACATCTGACTGAAGGTCGCAGTGACATCCCCTGGCAAACTCATGGACCCTAGTTATAAATATGTTTCTCCTCAGGCAGTATATTTATGCTGGGGGAAGGGGTATATGTGGCATATGTATTACTCTCGGGAAATGATAAGTCTCATCAGGGTTTATACAGAAATGATCTTGGTTGCTGATGACCCCCCTGCAAAACTAAACACTTTCTGGGAGTTTGGTGGAACACTCCGTGATTTCAAAAGCATACAGTCTAAAGATCCGTTGCCCAACAGCAGCCAAGTGATGAGATGCAGCAATGAACATTGAACGCCTTCCCTTTCGGGACGGGTCCGGCCCTGGGACCGCAAAGAGTGGAACCCGCTTCCTGGCCAGTTCAGGTTGCCGAGTTCCATGTCCGCCTTTCTTCCAATTTTGGCACAAGAAATAACTTGCCAGAAAAATCATGTTGTTGCCTCAAAGTGAACCGTGAACCTACCTACCACCCCCCCCTCCGCCCCTCCCCCCCTCCCCCCCTCCCCCCCCTCCCCGCCCTCCATAGAGGTGTTTCCCTTGCACCCGCAAAGGTAAGATGTATGGCTGGGTTTTCCCCAATCCCCCAATCTACAATTTTTGTACACGAAAATGGCGGCTTGGGGATGCCAACTGGCGCCTTACAAGCCTCTTCCCTGCTACCTACCGGGGGCTCTGATAAGGTGTTCGCGAGAGAGTATTCACCATACACTGGTCACGAAAGTCAAACCTTCTGGAACTAACAATCACAAGTGGATATTCTTGGCTAGGCACCTGTACATGACGTTCAGGCCCACACCAAAGCGCCCAGTCGAGGCGAACTCGAATTGCTTGGCGGAGCCACCGACCTTCTGCATCCGCAAAATGTCCTGATCCAAGGCTTTCCCTCAACAAACCTCAGTTGTTAAAAGGTCGGTGTATAGGCACCCAAGTTAGTGGTTCCGTTCGTGTAGTGGTTTGGGGCAGTTTTTTTGACGATCTCAGAACCTGCCAATTGGCCACAAGTCCGTACTTCGATGTGGGGGGTCCATCTCGAGATAAGCCCTGGAGAGCAAAAACCTTTCATGAAACTGACATAAAGAATCCCATCTGTAGGGTTTATTCCAAAACGTAAACTAAACACCCGTCGATCTGTGCGGGGTCTTCCCTCCCAACCCGGAAGGCCCTGGGGCTCAGAATCAGCTGAATCCCATTCACTTCCGCGGATTGGCCCCGAAAAGTCCACACCCGGTTTGCTTACCACTCAACTGGTTCCCAAACAATAATTTCCAGAAGCTCAGGGAATAAGCTATTCTTGACACGATCAGCAAGCTCTATCATTCCAATACCGGAAGGAAGAATTGAATCCCAATGTAAAGGATCTACCGAACCGCTTGCGCGCGTTTTACCAACCAGGACCAGTGGAACCGCTCGCCATAAAATGGGCAAAGATCCTCCTTGCCACGTGCCGAAGAGGGGCGCACCGCGAGGAATAACCCATTCATGTTCAAGCTCCAAAAAATAATCTGAGGGAACCCTCTACGGGACATGGCGCTTTTGCGGGGCCGAGAATCAAACGTCACTTTGAAGGGGGCCTGAAAGGCGTTCAGTGCCCTTTGCTTGGTTTACAATGCCCTTTGTGAAACAAACACCCAAGTGGCACCAAGGCAAACTACCTTTCACCAGTGGGGCATTGCATAAACTCGCCCGGCCCCCGGCCCAAGCCCCTTGGATGAACCCCAAGAGTTGGGCATCTTTGAAGAGTTTTTTGCATGTGGGCGTTTTTCTTTCACTGCCTCCTCTTATGAAGAAGCTTGACTTCTTGCTCAGCCTCCCTCTCTAGTTGGTGGTGTGGAGCCGAATCGGTGGTCTGGAGGTGTTCCAGGGTGGTTTCCATTTTCAAACACCAGGGGTTCGAGTCCAAATCCACATCACCAATCCACCTCGAAACCTCCGACGGTACGTGTGACAACTCCTAACATGTGAGAAGCGCCCAAAGCCTTCCTACCGGCATGGCTACAAATGCTTATATTGGCCTTACTACCTTCATGACACTACTAAAATGGCCATTGAGAGTGTTGGGCATTGTTCATGTGTGTTTGCTTCAAGGCTTTGCATGGCGCAACCCTAACAACCCAATAACGTCTAACACGTTTTCAACAAAAAGCAGGTAACCAATTGCCCTAGGGCCGCTGGAGGTGCTCTGGGGAGGAGGCTGGTACCACATATGCAATCAGTCATTTGTATTCAAGGGCTTGGTGTGCAGAAAGGCAAATCATCGTGGGACGTCTCAGCATATGTATATCTAAACATATATGCACATGTATATATCCATGCAAATGTCTATCTACATGTCTATGTATATGAATAGATATAAACATATGTTTGATTATGCATATATCTACCTATATGCATGTGTGTAGATGTATGTATATGTATTTGTTGTTTACAGTGTGCACATTCTCTACAGATTCGAAAACCCAAAAGGACTTGGACAGGTCCTCCTCCCCGAGAGGTTTGTTGGAGCAGATGTACAGCGCAGGCCCCTGCAGGTTTTCGCAGCGCTTGTCCACCACCCGGTCCTCTGATCGAAGCGCGCCATGCATCACCAACCAAAGGGCTGGCGCACAAGGACCCGGCACATAAAAGGCGTTCACCTTGGGCCTTGGTATGCTCTTTGACCATCTGCCTTCTCAGCTTGGGCTCAAGGCAAGGACCAGGAAAGTTTTGGGCTTCGCCTTCCAACATATCCGGCTGCGCTGTGTGTCTGCGAGCCCGAAGGGCAAGGCCAACGCTACCCATAGGGTATACCGCTCGGATAATGGTGGTGGTACTAACCGCAATTGTTTTATCCGTGGCAACTGAACCCCAAGGCCTAGGATCATGCTTCGTCTTGCTGGTGGGAATGAACCCGCAGAAAGGAAACCACCAGTTGGGTCATTCCATTTCTCATTCCGGTTGAGTGAGCACCAGCAAGTTGCGTAACTCCATACTCCATGTGTACCTTCTGGCCCCTGGGCCTTAATACTGGGGGTCGTTTATCGAACTGGTCGAAGGCCGCAATTGGATAATGTTCAGGACGCTCGCTTTGTGTAACCCATGTTCATGCCTTCCCCGCTGGCAAACGCGAGCTATACTGTGGATGGACGAATTCCTGTACCACCTAAGAAACAATGGTTGAAACCACATTGTTTGGCATGTAAAGGTAAGTCATCATTCCAAGGTTTCTTGCTGCGAAATAGATGGCATCCATCCAAAGCTGGGGTCCTTCCGCAGGCCCTGCATCTCCCCTCCCGTAAGAAAGAAAGGAAATGGCTCACCATAAATGGATGACCACAAATGGATCGCCACAAATGAAATTCCACGCGTCACCGCCCCTCCCCCGATGTTTTGATTGTTTCTAATTGCCGTCCTTTGAGAGATCCTTTTTTTTTGGGGGGGGAAGGACGTCCCCTTTTGTTAAAAACTGTCGACACAGCCCAGGAAAAACCCCTGAGCAGCAAGGGCACATTCCCTGTACGGCATTACGTAATCTTCAGGGCTTATGGCTGGCCTACGCTCAAACCATGCTTGAAAATATAGGACTTTCGTGACCGTTACTAACAGTGAACCAAACAGGGAGCCAAAGGGTCAAAAGCTGGTCTTGAAACTAATCCATCTGCGTCTGTTTCAAGTCTTTTCTTGTCTTCCCGGGTACCTGTTTGTGGATGACGCCAAAATGAAAACATCCTCACTTCCACTTGGGTTAGCCAACAAGGCAACCAAATGTTTTATTTACCACTAAAAAGTCCGAAACGGGACTCAGAAAGTAAGATCATCTGAAATGAAAGCCCTACTGTATCTTAAAAATCCATGGAAGCCCCTACCCTTACGAGGCAACTTGCCTTCTCGTCCATGTTGTACGAAGGATGGGCGGAATCCATTTCGCACGACCGTTCAGAAACCCTGAAATGATCCGATTCCGCAACGCAAACACCAACAAACGTTATGATTTCTTGAAGGTGCGAGTGGCATGAGTTTCGCAACCATCTACAGTATTAGCGGAAAGTTGCGTCAGTTTTCCCAGGGCGTTCAGCAAATGGAGGTTGTGTGTCCCCTCGAACTTTCAACGTTACAACCCTGGAATGATGATTCCCCTGTCAATACCGACGCAAATCTTTGTGGTTTAAACCATGGCTTCTTCGGTGGTGCGGAATGGATTTCGTCCCCTAGGGAGGGCTATTGGGGGGGGAAAGGCTATCCCAGGAGGGGGTAAGCCCAGGATGAGCCAAGGATACGACCTTAGTGAGGCCTTATTAAGCGGTCAATAAGGGAGTTGCGTCCACGGAGTAGGACTCTGCGCATGGTCACAAGTCTGTCCTTCACATGCCGTTCCTTCGACAGAACGAACTTCAGCTCCGAAGCACCAAAGTCCTCGGCAACGCAGAACTGGAGGAAAACAGGATGCCAACTCGAAACGATGATATGTGCAACTAAAACATCCGCATATACATGTGTATGTTAAACACATGTATATGAGAATGTGTATGTATCCCATCGTCCCTCTATATATACATATATGTTTTCAGATGACACGCTTCACAAGACCCAGCCGCAGCATCTTGTTTTTATCACGATATCGACTTGAGAGATTTGTTCACAGACAGCTCTGCTGTCAGCACAGTGCTTTGGGTTTGGGTCTGTGTGACCCGTTTCCACAGACTGTGTTGCCTGCATGCGAAGTCTCCACTCAGCTGCCTTGCGTGCAGCGAATCGTAAATCATCATCCACCGGGCTCGGTCTCAAAGGGAGTGCCCAGATTCTGCAACATTCAGGCAAAGGCAAAATGGCCATCAGCACCGAGCCCAAAAGGAACAAGGGGGGGAGCTGCTTTGCTGGATGCTGCTGCACCCGTCTGAGAACCCAGGGACACTCGAAACAAGGAACGCTCGCTGCCGGCAAACCATGCCAATCATCTTGTTCCTGCCTCCAGTTACAGAAATCAGTGAAGGTGCTATCCGTCAGCAGGTCCTCAATCATAGGAAACCAAAAGCCCTGCCACGAAGTGAAAGAGCAAATGGAACAAAATGCAGCCACCACCGCTTCCTGCGAGTAGTGGACTGGCATGGCCTTGGTGAGGAGGGTGCCGCTGGCCAATGCCAAAACTTGTCTCATTGATGGCCAAGACCGGCCCGAGAGCCAGACCGGCCCTGGGTGCCATACCAGGGCAGCTAGCACCTCTCCATGACAAAGTCACCAAAACCTTGCCTCTGAGATCCTCCACCTGACGTGAGAGCCCACTCTGGTTTTGAAGCCATTTCACGTACTTCACCACGACCTCTTACACCATGCCCCCACGGTCCACCGGTGAGAGAAATGACCTGGGCCCACATAGACATGACAAGGGGGTAGGTTCCCGAGACTGGTAGAAGACCTCTGCCACCTCCAACCAGGTACGAAGCTCATGTGGCCGAAGCCCCAAATGAATGGCCATGACCTCCATCTGTAGGTCGCCTGTGGTCTGGATGGGGGGGAAGGCAAGGGATAGGCTCAACCATAAACCCCTTCTTGGAAGCCCATGCCGTGGCCGCTATCGCCAAAGTGAAGACCAAAGAGGGTGTATACTCGGCCTCCTCATTTGTTGGGAGTCCCTGGCTGGACCTGGCCCACTCCCCTTGAGCATGAATGTGGCCGCAGCTGCAATTCTGGCGAATCTTCTGCCCTCTGCGACGGGCCCCCAGGAACACGCATGCATGGTAGTCGAGGTCGTGCCATTCCCCCGTATCAACCAGTATCGTTCACAAGGGTCAAACCAATGCAGGCTGTTGACCGGATTTTCCCGGATGCACCCCCCACCATGATTGGCCAGCCACTCCTGCGCCGCAAGACCAAAATCGGCCATGAGATTGTCTTGCAAAACCCGATGCAAATCCTCGCCCTTCAACGATGGCAAACCCCTCGGGTGAGTTTCAGATCTTAATGGAATTGGACCCGGCCGCTTCTCTCTGGACCGGGACTTTGTGGAACATGAGAATGCTGCAGCGAGGAAAGATGTGTCAGGCAAGTGCCGAAGAATGGCCCGCTGCACTGCAGGCCGAGTAACATCGAACTTCTCGCCCACAGTGATGTCGATGGGTGTGATCACTCTCCAACCACACCAAAGAAAGGCCTTGGCCAGGGGGGCATGCTCTCCCGAAAACAGGTCCATGATGATGGGAGGTTCGTCTGACTGATGATCATGTGATGGCTCTGGCAACTCCGACATCCAAGACTGAAACTGAACGAAAGTGTCAGGCAAAACAACCTCTGTGTCATGGAGTGGCGCGGCCGCAGTCAGCGACCCGCCCTTTTCTCAAGCCTTCTGCTTGTTGTTGCAGCGACTACCGCTGTGGCCATAACTGCCACACACCCTCCCTCCCCGGAGGACGTGGCCACAACGATGTGCACATTCGCGACCGCGGTGCCAGCAGCGCCCTGCGTTGAAGGCTGCACACAAAGGAGTTCCATCCCTCAGCGCGGACATGATCTTGGCTCCAGGCGAAGCCGCGCTTGAGGCAGACGCCTTCAGAGGAGCAGCCGGCTCAGGCGGAGCCCTTGAACCCGTGGGCATGGGCACAACAATCCACCCAAGCCCAAGTCCGTCTTGGTATCCAAACGATCTGACCACTCACCACTTTCTTCCATTTCCAGGCCGCACACTGTACTAAGACGGGACCCAGACAGGAGCAACGCCGCTGCACGCTCAGCCCGCTTCTGGTACTTCATCAAAAGGTCCCATGGTACTTGAACATACAAGGCGCTATCCGCGCCGCCAATGGTCTCCGGAGCCACCGGAGCCGAGGCGAGGTGCGGGGAGACGCCCCAATGCTTGCCAACGCCATGAAGTAGGCGCATGCGGTCAAAGTAGGCGAGGATGTCATTGCCACCCTCAGGATCATGGATGTGCAACTGATCCCCCCTTGTGCTTCTTGGCCGAAGTGGTCTTCTGAAACAGGAGAGACCGAACCACCCACAAGTCCTGGACTTCCATGTTGCGCTTGTCCAAGGCCTTCCAGAGGCGACTCAAAAGACGGTCGCTGGGCCATTCGGCTGGAGAAAGACTAAGATGATAGCGGTTCCAGAATCTGGTCTTCAGCTCTTCCAGCTTCTCCTTGGGCAAGACCGCCTCCTCGTCATGTTGGCGGTCCACCTCCTTGAGCTTGCGAACCTCACCCACCTTGGCCTCAGCCACACAACTTGCCCAGGCAAAGCAAACCCGAGCCAACTGGATCCGAGGATTAGTCAAATCCGGGACCCCCTCAACAAATGCCTTCTCAATCTTGGTCTGATCCTGGACATAGAACCAAAAGTCATTGAAAGACTCAAGCTTGAGGTCCAACAGGCGGTCCACAATCTTGACATCGAAGCTGAAGTCCTGAGCCAACTTCTCGAAGATAGCCCGAGCAGGAGAAGGAGCTGCCGGCATGACGACAAGTTGTGTGGGCTATAAAGCTCGTCACTTGAATTGAAAGCTAGAGCAGAGAAACATGTAGGTGCAGTGCATGGAGCAACACAAACAGCAGGCTTGCCGCAGTGAGTTGGTTCTGACAGCAACTCTCCACTCAGCTAGACAAGCCCATTCTCAGACTGAGAAATGCAGACAGCATTCTTGTTTACACTCTGGGCTTACTCCGGATGCCCTTGTTGGGACAAACAGTCCGACCTGACTAAGCACTGCAAAAAATCCCCGAGCTCCCGACGCAGACGACGGCGACAAGGCCAGTCAAGCCACACTGCCACCACTTACCTACGGCAGGGCCCCCGATGCCCAAGGCCAAGTAAGCGCACCCTTGCCAAGCTCATCTTGCTCATCCAGAGCACAAGGATTTTCTATCCAGACGGGGGGTCTCAGAGCCATGAAAGAAAACTTTTTGGAGTACAAATCCATCCCGCAGCCAGACGGGCTACATGGGCGATCTCACCATGCACTTCCTATGCATGCGAACCCCGGCTCTGATTGAAATGTGGACACAATGACGTCATGCAAACTTATGCGCCTGCGGGCGGCAGGCGGACATTTTGCCCCAAAGTAAAGCTCCAGATCCTACAGATTCGAAGCTCGGCGAACACTGTTATTGATAATTAAGCGTGCCGAGGCTGGCAAACACGTCACACAGCTACGACAAAAGAAACGGTCGTACACCAAGGCCTCAGTACTGGTCGAAGCTGAAATCCTGGCCTCCCTGGCGCCATCACCTGCATCTCTGCAAATGTGCCACAGGCCTCCCTGTCGCTTGGTGGCCCTCCATGACCAGCTAGAGGGCAGGCAGTCCTCATATTGGGGCCGACGAACTTGTTCACGAACCCAGTCGAAAATGGCAGCACCACCACGGCGCCGCATGACGGCCTCGGGGCCCTCACACTCTTCAAGTGGTCCAGGGCCAGATCCAGACTCATTCGGTCAGTCCAACCAATCAGGCCAGCAGCCCCTATGGACTCCAGCCCGGCAATGCACAATGAGGCTCTCACCTCGATGCAGCGTGGCCATTGTTCCTCCCAGGCAGACTGCCTCTCTTTGCCTCCGTAGCTGACCGCCACGGCCATCTGGAAAATGACACTGTCGTTCATGCCCCTACTCTCCGAAGCCGTCTCCTTCATGGCGCTCAGCCTTGGCGAACCATGGTGAACGGCTCGGGGGAAGCACTATGCCCCGGCCTCCGCCACCGCTCGCGGGCAAGGAAGCCAAAGAACTCATCTGCATCGTCGCAGGACACCACAGGCCTAGAAAAACTTGGAATCTGACCCAGATCAGCAAGGTATCTCCTACACCTTGGCCAGACAGGCCATGTCTATCTATGTCTGTCTGTATGCGTGGATGCATGAATAGACTACATTTCCCAAACCATATGGTCACACACCCCCTCACCTTCGAGATGGAGCATCACAGAAGAGGGCACCACTCCCATGATGTTATGAAATGAGAATCAGAGTTTCTTGTACTGGAGTGATTTGGCCATGGGGCATAACCTATGGCTCCATTTTGAGGTGGATGAACATCCATTTGCCGCCTATTTTGATGTTCACCAGGGTAGAGGGTTTTGACCCACAGCCATTTGTACACACCACCATTTTGGGACTCCTTGTTTATGGGGACTCCTGCAAGGGGCGGGGTGATGTTGAGAGTTCGAGGGGACATACAACCTCCATTTGCTGAAGACCCCTGGACAAACATTACGATCTTTCCGGCAAAAGCCCTCTAAAACCAGGGGAAAATGGAAGAAACACATATTCTGAAGCGCGAATGGGAGATATGGCTGTGGCTCAAAAACATGTGTGTACCAAAATGGCACCTTGGCAAAGACTAACACCTGCGGTTTGCCCTAGCTCTTTAATGTTAAGCCACACCCATATTGAAGCCTATATGACAAAAACAAACCATATTCTGAGACGCGACTGGGAGAAATATCTTGAAAAACCTGAGATATAAACCGCCGCCTATATGACAAAAACAATCCATATTCCGAGACGCGACTGGGAGAAATATCTTGAAAACTCAGAAAATATTGACAATTTCCCACTGTCGGGAAGAAGCTCTGGGGCGAATCTTGAAAAACCCTAGAAAAGAAAGAAGACAAAAAAAGCCGCGACCGAGGCGCGTCGGTGTTTTGAACGAACTCGGCCACCACGTCGCTCCGGCCGCTATAGTCCTTCAGCAGCAGGGCAATCTGATCAACCAAGTCTGCCTCCTGTCCGAAGGCGTCCTCGTCATTCGCGTCCTGGGCGGAAGGGTTAAACTTGCTTCCAGTTGTTGCTGCTCGGCTCATGGGAAAACACGGCTATGCACCAGACTTGCCTTTCCGGTTCCTGGAAAAATAGAGTAAATGGATTCCCTTTAAAACCACAACTATATATGGATTCCCTTTAAACACCGACAAGGGGAAACAACAACATATTAGCAAATGGAAGTGCGGCTGGTGCGATAGGGAGGGAATGAGTTGGAATGAACCCTTTTCGGATTCCCTTACAGGAAACCACCAGTTGAAAGGGTAAAGGTCATTCCCTTTCTCATTCCCTACTGAGCACCAGTACGCCATACCTTCAAACACTTGAAGATGGTGTTGAGCCTTCCCAAGAACCCAATCTTCATGAACAAATCGAGGGTAGCTGGAATCACAATATTGGACACAACCACAGCATGACCTTCCATTTAGGAGGGTGGCAGGTTTCCTTCAATCCCCTTCAAAGCGTCTCGAATGCTCTCCTGACCGCCATGCAATCTGAGTGGAACCCCCTTGTTTCTAGGGGTAAATGCAGTAAAAAAGTCCCTGCTGCATCTGTCCTGTGGATCACAGAATACCGACAGCAAACCAGCTGGCGTGCTGCTTCCTCAATCCAAAACCACTTCGAGGTTCATCTCTTGCCCAAACGAAAAAAAACCAGATCAAAAGGTTTGTTCTGGACAACTGAGTTCGCCAACCCTCGAAAGGAATTGGCTTGAATCTCAGGAAGAAGCCCCTCTCCTCACTTCCTAAGTGGATTGGCAAAAACAAATAACACACTTCATGAATTTGCAACTCAGCCGGGTGAACTATAATATTTCACCAGCCTGAAACTTGCGGTGGTTGGGGGGGCCATTCCCCACATAAACAACTCCATTTGGGGTGAATTCGGTCGCGTGAGGTCGTTATAATTTCACCCAGAACTAACACGGCCTTCGCAAGTGCAAAGTCCAAGCTCTCGGGGAGTCAGTCTCTGAGAATGGAATGCCAACCGGCCAGTCCTCACACTGCTTGGCCAGCTGGTCGCGGACCGATGTGCAACCCAAAAGCCTCGCGTCTTTGCTCGAGATCTTCTCGTCCAGGGTTTCCACCTTGCCCTTGGACCAGGGCGCGTCGTTGATGTACACGTCCTCACCCCGTTTGATTCTCGGCTTCCGGTTTGGTGGCCTCCGGGTTTGTGCTCTTCAGCTATGTCTCTAACCACTCCGAGACTCCGAGATCGGAAGCCCCAGCACCAAGTCAAGTGACTGGCCCAAGGCCAAGGCCGTCGGGCTTCATTCTTGCGCTGAGCGTAAGTCACTGAAGGCTCCCTTGGGCCAAGACTGAAGAAACCCAGGTTTGTGTTTCTGATGCCTAGGCAAAGGAGAAGCTTGCCCGGAGACAGCAACTCCCACCCACGAGAGAACCTCCTCAACAGGTTTGAGAACCCTTCTGGAAACAGGGGATTTCCGAGCTTGTCTCGATATGCAGGCCAGCCAAAGAAGAAACATAGCTCACAAGCAGGAAACAAGAACGAATCCAAATACCGGATCTTCATCGCATGCAAAGTAGCCTTTCCGGTGAGTTCCCTCACAGCATCTAAAACCTGACATCTGGACATGGGAATGTGGGTATGCCTTCCAAATCATGATTGGGTTGATCAAGGCGTCCTTTTGCCAGTGCCTTTGAGGAAAGAGCATGAAAGATCGGCATGCCAAGAGGAAACCTGTCTTTCAGAGGGGGGGCAGATTTGCCGCGGCATCGCAGAAGCAAGAACCAGTCCCCCATCGTGAGCTCCTCATCTTTGGGTGGTGAACACATCACCTTTCGGGACTATTTTGCGCGGGACTACTTTGTGCTGTCCCGTTCTGTTCTTCCATAAAACCAAGCCCGATAAGGCCCACACCCACACGCACATGCAAACACCACGGGCACACACACAAACCTGCACACCGGCACACACACACACGTGCAGACACAGACGCAGACACAAACACACAGACACACAGACACAGGCACGGAGACGCGGAGACGCAGAGAAACAGAGACACATAAACGCACAGACGCAGAGACACAGAGACACACACAAACACACAGACACGGAGATAAAGAGACGTGGAGACAGAACAGATTCACAGAGACACCGAGACACACAAACACAGAAAGACAGAGACACAGGCACACAGGCACACAAACACACATACACAGGCACGTAGAGACACAGAAACACAACAGAGACACAGAGACACCGAGACAAACAAACACCAACACGCACCCGCTTTGTTATTAGGGGCAACGGGACCAGAACACCGACTGCGCGATGTCCTCCACGCGCAACAACTTCCCGGAATTGGTTGGCACCTTCAAGCCCTTCCGCGCCGCGGGCCGCTCCTAGCTGCGGTCTTGAAAAAACAGAAGCAGCTTCCGGCCATTTGATCGTGGCTTTAGTATTGCCAATATACATTTGTGGTATGCCATCTTAGTGTCCCGTAAATCAGCCCTACACAAATGTTTTGTTCCCCACCCGACAGGAAGGGGTTGTTAGATTTTATGTTGGAATCCGCGTTTGCGATGCTTCTACACCACGCCCCCACCCAGTATCCCGCCAGAGCAGCTCGCCAGTGGATCCCGCCGAGTATTCTCCCAGCCAGTATCCCGCCAGAGCTGCTTGCCAGTGGATCCCGCTGAGTATCCCAGAGCAGCTCGCCAGTGGATCCCGCCGAGTATCCCGCCAGAGCGGCTCACCAGTGGATCCCGCCGAGTATCCCGCCGGACCGGCCCCCGCCCAGCATCCCGCCAGAGCGGCTCGCCAGTGGATCCCGCCAAGTATCCCGCCAGAGCGGCTCGCCAGTGGATCCCGCCGAGTATCCCACCAGAGCAGCCCGCCAATGGGAGTAGTTCGTGAGTGGATCCCATCAAGTATCACGCCAGCCAGTGGATCCCGCCGAGTATCCCACCACAGCAGCCCGCCAGCGGAATCCGGCAAGTATCCCGCTGAGTATCCCAGAGCAGCTCGCCAGCGGATCCCGCCGAGTATCCCGCTGAGTATCCCTTGTCGGTGGATCCTGCCGAGTATCCGGCCAATATCGAGCCAGAGCGGCTCGCCAGTATTCGCCAGTGGATCCCGCCAGTATCCCGCCAGAGGAGCTCGCCAGTTTGGTTTTGCTGTTGGTGCCCGCGCGTGTGCTCTGCAGAGCGCGGGGCTGGCGGTGGCTTCTGCAGATGCATAGCCCTGGTGCCTTGCCGCCGTGATCGGCCACGTGCAAGTAGTTGTTGCTCGCCAATAAGCTTGAAATGGGCTTGAAGCAGTGCTTTGCCATTCTTGCGCGGCAAATTATCAGTGGGAAGGGGTTGATTGGAATTTGGAGTCGAAGTCCCTAGGATGTGGAGGAATTTGTCGTAATGGTCGTAAGCTCGTGAGTGGAGGGTGGGGATTGCTCGAAGCGAAGTAATTTTTTTTTTATCAGATGGCACATGACTGCGGTTTTGCGTGGTCTTAGTGTGACTCCCTATTGGGTCGGTGGTGTGGAGGTTAGGCGTGGATTGCATTTGCCTTGGCAATGTTCTGGTGGTTGATTTACCCTTAGATGTTGCTTGGTATATCCTGTGGAAACCCCACTGCCACCCAGTCAGGGTTTTAATGGGACATACAGCCACTACATGGCCAGTTTATACAGGGCATATCCCCCTCAAAATTTCCACAAGAACTTGGTTGCTACAAACAAACAAAAAGGCCGTTGGACTTGTAGTCGGTTTCATGAATTTGGGCCGTGGCTTGCAAATGGCGGAACACTCAGAATGGTGGCTTTGTTTGGCTTCCCCCCCGCCAAAAAAAGTACGCACGCCCACGTGCTTCAAAAACTTGCTGGTGCTTAGTAGGGTCCACTTAAAGGAAACCACCAGTTGGATGGCTTATAGGGGTCATTCCACTTCTCATGTCCCTGCATCTCTCGCACCACCTTGGCGACGCCGTCAACACTCTGGGGCTTGGGATCAAGCAGTGGCCAGTGTCCAGCTTCGAATGTGGCTCGCGGCTTTTCAGGGGCTAAGGCTGCCCATCTGCAATTCTGCAATCCCAACTCAAGAATAAGGCTTTGCCCTTCCAGCATGTGGCGAGACTGCTGATTCAAGCGCTATGCATCAATGGCTGGTCTTTGGTGTGACCGAATCCAAAGGCTCCGCAATTACACCTTTTCGGAAACAAATGGTGTAGCAACCTTTTTGCTCAGCGGGCCTTGGAGCAACCAGTTGATTTTGACCCCAACTGGTAAGAAAGACTACTTTCCTCTTTAAAAGGGCCTGTTTGCACTTCCATGCTAGTTGGTGGGAGGGTAAGCTGGTTTATAAATCAGTGACCCATAACTTGCTGGTCATCAGGGAATGAGGGGATGAATCCAGGGTCCCCTACAAGGGATGGTTTAAAGGGTCATTCCCTCCTTCTTGCAGAGAACAAGCAAGACAAAAGGAAACCTTTAAAACTAGGCCAACAAAGAGGAACCAACAGGTCATATCAGGTCAGTTCGCGTTGGTGGCAAGTGAGATCTTGATCAGTCAACATTCATGTTGACTCTTGATTCATCTGATAATTTATCACCCCCCGACTTATTATTAAGAGGTGCTCACTTTTTCAGTGTGGATTCCTTGCTGGTGCGGGGGGGGGGGGGTCCTAAACTCAGATCCCCTAATGTTCCTTCAGGTTCGTTCGGGTTGAATGGAAACCACCTTTCACTCACCAAAAGCAACGAACCAAGCCTAAGTTGAACCGGCCTGGGAGCCACCAAGGCATGTGGTTCCAAGCCCATTTCAGAAAACCAAACCTTCCATTGGCTTAAGCCCCTCGAAGAGCTGAACTATACCTAGTAATGAAATCGATTACCTTCCCCTTCACTAACATGGCAAGTGAGAGGGGGTCCCTTCAAAAGGAAATCAATCTTCCAGGTACCTCACCACAGGTGCCATGTTAGTTGGAGGAAGGGTACCTTTAAAACCAAAAAGGAAAATGAGCGCTCTTGTTCAGCAAGTTACCTTCAAAACCAAACAGGGGAAATCGACGATCTTCTTAAGCAAATTACCTTCAAAGCCGAAAAGGGAAAATCGATGATCTTCTGAAGCAAATAAATGTCAACCTAAGTTTAATAAATGGGCGCGTATTAAAAAAATCTCGGCCACCGGACCCGCTTTTTCACCCAATACTAAAAATCAAGAAGGTGCTAATTCAAAAGAAAATTGCAAACATACAACACCGCCCCCCCAAGTCGACCCTCCAAAGCACAACATTAATAAGCCACCCAAAAACTCACATTAATAAAATTCCCCGAAACGCGGGGGCGAGCCAAACAAGTTTTGTTGCATCAGGGAGCAAACCAGTCCAAAATGTTTGAAAAGTAAGCAGGTAGTGTGCAGAAGTTGATGGCGCAGAGACACATGCACAAGTGTGCAGCGCACCAGGCAAGGCAATTATCTAGCTGGAACCGTCAAAGGCTCTCCAGCAGACCTCAGACCTCAAAAACCATACATGCCCGGAAAGTGCAGCTTTGAAATGAAGTCTCTTGACTCCAACATGAGGTACCCCACACAAGCTCCCCAAACCCGCATTAGTAAAAGGGTTCACATTAATAACACCCCTAGGAAGAACTAGGTATTGGTGAAGAAGGGGGACTACTGCAAGTACTACTACAAGTGCTACAGCCGGTACTTCAAGTAGTACAAGTACTAGAAGCAGTACAACTACAGCCACTACTACAAGCACTACAAGTACCAGAAGCAATACTACTAGGACTACTACAAGTACTACAGCTACTACTGACAAGTACGGCCAGCGCTTGTGGTTTGGCCGGAGACTCTCTTCCGGGGGGCGTCACACGCTCAGATTCCCTGGCGCCTGCCAGCGTTTTAGCACCCGCGCCTGATATCGAGCGGTCGGCCCTTAGAACATCGGCTAGCCTTCGCCGATGCGCGCAACTGCGCAGGGTGCGGCTTTTCGCTGTTCGCTATGTTCATGTTTTGGGACTATCCTAGGCTCAGCCAGAAATTAGAAGCTGACAAATGAAGCTCTCCACACCCTAAAGTGAGGGTTTGAGGGCAAGTTAAACCCCAAAACCATACCCTAAACCGGTGTTTGGGGGCAAGTTAAACCCTAAACCTGAACGGGGCTTGAGGGCCAGTGAAGCCCTAAACGAACCTTAAACCCTAAACCCTAAACCATAAACCTGAGCCCTAAACCTGAACCCTAAAGTGGTGGTTTCAGGGCAAGCTCAACCCTAAATAAACGGGTGGTTTGAAACCTAAACCCAAAACCTGAACCCCAAACGGGCAAGTTAAACCTAAGGCTGGAATGAGGCCAGAAAGTGGAACAAGGTGGTTCTGGGCAAGTACTACAAGTACCAGAAGCAATGCTACAAGCACAATTGTGTTTTTTACCGTACTTTGCCGGACAAAGAAATAATAATAAAAGACCCCGTTTACTAATATGAAGTCGACAGTACTTTCAACTCAACACCAAAAAAGGCCAAAAATGGCATTAAACAACAATGATCTCAGCAAATGGCAGAAACGCCGGACCCCGACTCCCTGCGTCCCTTCGACTTCTCTCCTTGGGCTTGAGCCGCTCCAAGCCGGCGGCGAGCTCTGCGCACAACGCCACCGCCTGTGGCCGGAAGCTCGGGATGGCCTCCTGCCGAACCGCCGGATCCCCGCTGCCGGCTTCGCCGATTCCGCGAAATGACGCCGCGGAAGCCAAGAACCTCTCCCCCAAAAAAGGGCACGGGTCTGCAAACCGTGGCTGTTGGGAACTTCCAGTCTCTCTTCCTGGGCTGGCCCATAAAGGAGGAACTAAACTTCGTGTTTGGCAGTAAGTTGGTCTTCCCAACAAGATTAAGGTCCATGAGCTCGGGGAGTGAGTTTTGCTTTCCAGGGAATCTGTCTCACTTCAGATCGAGTCAGTGGATTGGCCACAAAAGTATCCAAACTCCGTGCTCACCAAAATGGCAACCAAACCCAGAAAGTGACCACAGTCCATGAACTCAGGGAGTGAGGAGCCCATTGAAGTGACAGGGGAAACGGAGGGAACCACATGTTTACGGACAACATGTTGGTGAGACCGGGAGGTTGGCCCGGCGTGTCTGACAGGAGGCAGCGTGTTCGCGGCTGTTGAGGGGGGGGGGGAGGGAACCGGGGGGGGGGGGGTGGAAAGAACACGGGTCCATGTTTCCAGCATGTCGAGGCCAATCTGCGTTTCAAACTAGTTGATCCCGGCCCGACACACCATGTGACGTTTCCGCTATCCACGCGCTCTACACGACTGCGCAGTCCCATTTACTTGTCTGACACGCTGCCACTTTGCCGCAGGTGGTGTAGACTTCTTGCGTTCGGAGCAGGAACGGAAGTTCTGCCAGCAAGTTCTCAGCGCAGCTCATGACTTGTCTGTTTCGCATATACAAGGCAGCCCGGCCTGGACAGCTGCATGAAAGTGTTGGTCGCGAAGTTAGACATTTGCAGACTTTCCTGTGATCCCACCGAAGCCACGATGCACTGCCATTCGCATAGGATTTGCGCAATTCACAACCCACGTCCAAGAGCGCGCGTCATTCGGTCAATTGAGCTCCAGTACTTCTCAATGGTGGCTTCATTTAGAGGTAAATTAGATTGGTCCATTTTAGCACCCTTCCAAAATCCCAAACTATACCCAAGCTAGCCGAGCTAAGACAGGGATCCTTACATTATACACCTGAGCAACTTGTCAATGGTGGTGTCCCTGTATTTCGGTGTTGAAAAAGCAACATGTTTCAAATGGTTGCAAAATGAATTTCTTTTCAGGAGCCCGGTAAAAGAGCCCCTAAAAAGAGTGATTTAAGAGCCCGGTTTACATCTTCACTTTAAGAAGCCCAGTGAAGCCAAGGCTAAACCATCCTTTGTGCAGGGTGCTGTTGCCGGGGAAACGGTTACTGACCGTGACCGTATCTCTTAAAATCGGCTTCCACCAAATTGTTGGCTGGGGGTGGTGGGGGCGCTTACTCCTTTGGCACCAGGGGTTGGTATCCACCAACCACCAGGGACCCGAGTCCCCTTGGAAAACCAGCGGGCTAAGTACTCAAACCCGAGCTGCCATGATAAAATAAGTGTGCCCCCCTCCAAACAACTTGAACAACAGAACTCTACCAAAATGGCTATAACAAAGTTATACAGCCCTTACAATTTCACCCATGAAACCAGGACCCCAACCATCCCAGAAGCCCTTTGCGAATCAAATGGTCTTTTATAATTATAGCCATTACTACCCCCATGGGAGGTAGACCCTTCTAAACTGGCCAATGGGAATCGGTTTTGGTGGCTGCTCAGAGCTAGAATAGCCAATGGCCATCGCTTTGAGGTCAACAACTCACTTCCCAAGTTGACTGGCCAAAGAAAGTCTGAACTGTTTATTTACCACTAAAACGGTCTTTCCAAAAAGTTTAAAGTCCATCAACTCAGGAAGTGAGACAAACAATAATACATCATGTTGTTATTGATCGCAGCCACTGGGAATCAGCGATATGGAATTCTGCGGATTCGCGGTTTGGCTGTTCAAGGGTTGTTGTGTTGACCTCAGATTAATAAGCCTGTCCTATCAATATTGGGGGTGGGGGGCCACACTAAACCCACACGGACACCCGTTTTGGTCAAAATGACAAGGCCGGATGCAAAGCTTCTTCCAATTGCTTAAGTCCCCTAAAAAAATACAAACGATTTCAGTGCTAAATTCCTTTTGAAAACTAACAGGTTGGATAATGACAACTATTCATGCAGGCTTCCCATGGACTTGGGTTTGAGACAGGTGGTCAGGGCACTGGCAAGTGTGGCTCAGGGGGCCGAAATTTGGATTGCATCCGGGGTCGAGATGTGGGATCTAGCCTTGCCTTGAGGACCTCCACTGCGGGCCACTCAGGCACGCCCATTGCCACGCCAATGCCTCGCACGGACTCCTGCGCGAGGCCATGAAGAGTCTGAAGACACATACCCATGTGTCCTGGGCTGTCCGTTTTCAGATCCCCTGCTAAATGTGTCACTTTCAGTTGATTAAATGGAGAGCCCCACTAAACTTGAAAAACCTAAACACCTCACAACGGCTGGGAACCGCCAAGAGTCTCATGGTCCCGACTAAACTGTCAAACTGTGTTTCAAAGCTTCCTAAAACTCATCCAAGCTCATGAAGCCCTTATGGTATATCTGAGACAAGGATTTGTGGTATGTGTCAATCTACTCAAGAAATGAAGGATGTCAACACACTGCGGAAACAACACTTACAATGCCTTCACTGAATAATACATCGTCATGCACATAACCTAGAAACAGTTGTCTACTGCTGTCAACAACAACTAGTCAAGGCTACATGCTGCGCCAACATGTGTAACATGTATTTACTGCCTTGTGTGCAACTGAGCGTCGACATCAACAAACCATTGGGACGTGTGAACTGTCTATCATTGGGAATTCCAGGAACTGAAAAGACGGACTGCAAATGGCACGGGCAACTTGAAGCACAGTAGGGGCTCTTTCTTGATGCGATCCTGATGAGGGTTTGCGCCCTTTTGAAAGAAGTAGGGGTCACTTGGAACAACCCTCCTGGCGCCAGGGTTGTGTGCTGGCACACTAAGTCTGCAAGCTTTGCTCGGCCAAAACTGTCACAATTGCAGCCGTGCCACCTTGATTCCCCCACACGTGATAAGACTCTTTTGCCTAGATCTGTTCCACAACGAGAAAAGTACGAGGCCCGCCCTTGGAATGAGAACATAAGTGCTAAACAGGATGTCTCTATATACATAATATTCTCTCTCTCTCTCTCTCTCCCCCTGCAAGAATTATCCATACCCTTTAAACTTCCGGCTGAGAAACATGATGATAGATGCCAACACATGAGCTTTCACCTGGATTTCTGTTTCGTCCTTCCCCTTGCGCAACCCTCTCCTGGTTGTAGAGAATCCCCAGTGCCGGGCTCAGGGCCTCGGTTTAGTGGTTAAAACCCATTCGTTGGCAAAGCGTTGTTCAGTCCCAGCATTGGGCAAAATGCGCCAAAGGAGCCACGTGGGACTGCGCGGACCGCAGGGCCGTGCTGCGCGGCTCGAAGAGCGCGGCGCCCGTGCCGGCGGCGCCGGCGCTGCCGGCGCTGTCGGCGAGGCAGGGCAGGTAGGCCACGGAGAGGCAGCGCAGCAGCTGGGTCGCTTTGGCGCGGTGGCTGCGGAAGATTTCCTGACGGCTGTCAAAGAAACCCGTTGAAACCAGGTCACTGGTTGTTGGTATTTGCAGGGGGGATCGAATCATTCCAAGGTGTTTTAGGAGGCTTCTTAGGAAGATGTCCTGACGGTCGTAAGGCACCAAATGAGGTACTTCTAAATGGGCGCGACTGAGTTTGCCTCAAACTAGCGAACAAAAAATAGGTGGTTCCTCTTGCTCAGTTGCCCACAGGACCCAAAAATAACAGGTCACCCTTTGGGATTTCCTGACTGTCGCTCAAAGAAACCCGTTGAAACCAGGGTTTCCTAGGAGCTGCAGGATTTCGTCCATCCACAGAAGGTTCCCCCAAGCACATATAACCCAACGGGTGCGGAGGCACCAAATGAGTGGGATCCGTCCACTCAGTTGCCCACAGGACCCAACAATGATAACAGCTCACCCTTTTGGCAAATGGCCAAAGGTCGGCTTTGGACAACTGAGATTACTAACCTTCATGTATCAAGCACCCAATGCCCAAGGACGGACCTATAATTCAAAGGCTTAATGTTTTCTTCCATGAAGCGCTGGTATGAACTTAGTTATGTTTCGAGCTAATTAAACGTTAGTTGCGGCTTAAGTATGGAAACCAGCCCACCCAGAGTCCAAAATCGCCATGGGTTCATATATTAGACCAAAACAATCACGCTTTGAGTCGTGCTGACATGCCCCAACGGATATACCCCTAAAACCAAATTGAAGCGAATCCAGGGGGTGGTACAGGAGGCCATCCAGGGAACATACCGCAAGATCAGCCTTGGAGAAGGGATTGTAAGTGGATTATCTGGCGTATGTAGGGAGGGCCTTGGAGTCTTAGACCCGTCTGGCCCAAAATGAGCTTACTCCTCCAAGACACCATTTACCCAGTAGCCTGCGTGGCCTCAACCCAGATTGTTATACCAACCAATTGCACATAGGGTGGGATGCATGTAAGTAGGACCTTAGGCAAAGCGATCCAATGAAATCCTCACTCATACAATGTCACTTTCAATTGGCCCACACCGAAAGCTAAACAACAATTCGTGAGTATTTGCCGGGAAGCCTTCAAGTGTTGTCACGTTTTAGAGCAATGCACACAAGAACTGTCCTTGTGTTGACAAGTTTGCAGACAAGGAAGGCTTGTGCTACGAATGCGTGGTCGCAAATGACGAAGAACCCTACACCAGAAAGCCTCTGCGAGGACCAAGAGAACTCAAGCCGGGAGCAATCACGAAATTCCCAACACGAAACCCTTTAGCGTAACAAAGCTTCGTTGCAAGCTGTGCGCTTGACTCACTTGCCCAAACAAAAGGCAAAACCCACCTCGCCGGTCGGAATCTTGGCAGCAAATGGACGAATGTGCTAAAACCGAAAGGTCCTCCAGTGGAAAGGTTAGAATAAGAAGCTCCCATTCTCAACAGCCAAAAAACCAGTGGAAAGACGGTTGAAAAGCATGGAAAAGAAATCACCCCCTAGAATGATGCCGCGGCAACAGATGGCTGCTTTTTGCTCCTCAAAGACCGCAAGGATGGACTTCAGGCAACGCCCCAAGGCAAGACGGGGATGCCTCAGCGAAGAAAAAGCAGGCCATCCTCAACGAGAGGTTCTTGGACCCTTCCCAGATTGTCCAGGATACGTATTTGCCTTCGGTCAACTGATGTGTCTGCGCCTGTGTGCGCCTGTGTGCGCCTGTGTGCGTGTGTCTCTGTGTGTGTGTGTGTGTGTGTGTGTGTGTGTGTGTGTGTGTGTGTGTGTGTGTGTGTGTGTGTGTCGCTTGGAAGTTTAAAGCTACTGAAACATCATATCGTCGATGCCGTGTTCTAACCGAGGCAGTGAACGGCAACACCTGGGCAGTTCCCTGCACAATGCAAAGTGGGAATGCTGAACACCATGCTGACAAACATGTGCTTGGCCACTTCGCAGAAACTGTCCTGTCCCACGCCCCTGCGTACACCCTGCTCCACCCCAACTACAAGGCGGAATAGACCAAACGGTCGGTAGCTCGAACTGCTGGTCAAAGCAAGACCAACAAGATGATGTGGCACAGTGACCTGGAACTAAGAATCCATCTTGGAACCTTGACTAAATATAGAGCACGTCAAGAAAACCACGGGTCAAATCAGGTTGATTCGCCTTCGGCAAGTGAGCCAAATAAACAAAACAGACCAGCCTCCATTGGCGCATACGTCCCCTGGAAAAAAGGCGCAAGTATGTCCAGAAAGAAACATACATTTCCAGTAGTGATAGAAAGGGGAAAAAATCATCTCAGAAGATGGAAAGCCATTGACGACGAGGTAAGTTACACCTCGTGCAACTCTGGCTGGCGCTGAGGGGCGACAGCCCTTTGGAAGAAAGATACGGCGCTGCCCGGGCGCAGGCGTCCAATTGCGACACCAAGATCTCCTCAGATGCGTCTGGGTATGATCCCGCTTCCTTCCCCCTTCACCCCCCCCCCCAAACCATCATGGACCCCAGTGCGGGCAAACGGGGTAGGCTATTTCATGGAGAAGCCAGGATAAGCCATGGATAAGCCATGAAGAAGCCCTAATAAGGCCTTATTCATGGGTTAATAAGGGATAGCCCCCCCACTCCCATGACCTTGCGTGGTCCAGGAAGCCACTTCCCTCAAACAAAAAACTCAGCAAGAGTCATCAACATGCTGTTTCGGTGCTCAGCAGGGACTGAAAAATGGAATGATCCCGAGAAAACCATCCAACCTATTGTTTCCTTCATTTGGGAATCCGAACCCTTCCGGTCATTTCCTACCAATCGCACCAGCAAGTTAATCGAGTCTGAGTTGCAATCCTGGTGCACGGGGGAAAGGAAGGAAGGTTGGGATCGCATGCTGGCGCCAGTGCCACCACAAACTCCACCATGGTGGGGAAAACAAACACCATGAAAACAGCGGTTGCTCTTGACATTTTGTTCTTGAATCAATAATTGTTTTCTGACCAACGTCTGATTTGGGACATCGTGATCCAGATCGTCTGCTTGCATGCAACATCGACAATCAACAACAAAAACAGTTATCCTCCCTTGCACTAACATGGCACCTGACAGGGTGTCCCTCCAAGAGGAACAAGAGGAACATGAGCTGCCAGGCAGAGGTGCGATCTTAGCGGAAGTGAGGGTTTTCTGGCCTGACAATTGATCGGAAGTGAGGGGGTCGGTAGGGTCCTTGAAGATGAATCCATCATGGACTAATACCCTCTCGCGAAGCTTGCCGAGAATGATGGTTTTTGAAGGCAAACTATGGGGAGGACCCCATTTAGCCTAGGGGGAGGGGGGTACGTAATCCCATGATTCCGGAGAGGCTAGGATACGAGATGATACGACTTGCCAGCCGTTCCAAACAACCATCCTAAAGGGTTGGGGGCGGAGAGTGACAAGAACCGTCCTAACGGGGTGGGCCCCGTGGTCTTCCTTGATTGTGGCTTCCCCTGAAAAGAGCACCACAAAAGGAGTACCAACTCCAAAAAAAACACTTTCCTCGTGGCTGCCCTTTAAAGCCCCAACAACATAGTAAAACAAAAACAAAACAAAACAAAAGCACACCAACATAGACATAAGGCCAACCACAGGCTGCCCAACCCCTCGATCCGTCTGTTCCGAGCTGCCGGTGCCTTCCCCACTGACTTGCCGGGCACCAACAGTGCCTGAACGAAGAGGGCCAAAGCTTGAACTTAATACTTTACTTAATGGAATTTATTTCATAGTCCTCAAACATCTAAATGGTGGTTTCCAGGCAAACCAGCCCGAAAAGTAATCACCCCTGAAAATCTCGGCTGTCCGTTTTCTGATACCCTGCTAAACGTTACTAACATGTGGGATGCGGAACCCCCACACAAAACAACAACTAAAAACAATTGAAACAACTAAAAAGCAATGACACACCTCAGGAAACGGACGGCTGGGAGCCACCAAGTTCAGGTGGTGCTGGGTTTCTACATTTGGGCAAAGTGTGTGGCAGGGTTTGCCACGTCAGCATCTCCAACCATTTGCACTTGTGTGCAGGGCCATACTTTAAGAACAAATGTTACATTCCAAGTCGACAGAAATTAGCAGAAAACATATTCATGCAATTCGCCATACGTACTACTCACTGGATGCTAACGGACACATGCTGCAGATGGTTGCAAAATTCGCTTCTCGCAAGAGCCAACCATATCCAGCCACAACACCGTGTTGTGCCCTTTTTGTCAATCGCAGAAACTGACCGTGCCATATTCAGGGCCTCCATCGCTCTTCAAAGATTTGTTGTTTGTGCGAGCAGCAGGACGAGCAAGGCCCGAACTAATACCAGTGAAAAGTGCAACTCCTGCAATTGCAACGAGACAAACTAAGACACAAAACAAGTCAATCGTTCTCAAACGAATATCCAACGGAAACTCATTTCCATAACCGTCGTGCAATCATTGAATTTACGCCCCACAACTTCTTTGCAGCGGACCCCTATGTAAAACTGGAACCTGTGTGCCCCTTTTGTACGTTACATCCACCGCTGGTAGCTGGGGGGGGGGGCAACATGAATTACCTATATTTGAGAGCAAGGGCAGCATGCCTGGGCGTCCATTTTTGCTTAAGCTCCGTAGGGAAATGGAGTCTCTTTAAAACCAACAGGTTGGACAATAAAACATAAGATTGTTTTTCAGCAAATGGAACCAACCAACTTTGCGGCAACATGATCCAAGTTACCAAGCAATGAGATTCCACCATTCCCCCCCCACGTTGCCGCCACCATTTTTCCCCTTTCAACATCACCCCATTACCGTATTATTCGAACATGCTTGGTCCACTTCCATGTGGAGATAAAAGAACCACTTTCACAAACTCAGCAATGCCGGACTTTGAGAACCAAAGGAATGCCCTTTGGAGGGCATAGGTTCAATGAGGTGCAAAGCATGGGAACAAGCAGGTTGGCCCCACTATCCGGTTTGAGTGGTCCGTGTTCTCAACTGATGGGACCTGTTGCCCTGCTACTTCCAACTGGCTAATGCACAGGTTCACCAACTCATATCTGACTTTGACAACCCAAGAAGCATCAAAGAGCCAATCTCGGACGAGGGATGCACGACACTCATCTGCAATGTTTAGCATGTTCAAGAAGGTCCGAAATCAGGAATTCCGAAATGAAGGGGATGCATTATCAGGAGCTTGCTCTACTCGGCACAAAGTAGGCAGACTCATGATGTTCAACCGACAGGCTAACATTCTTTGAGGTACGCAACTTTGGATTGAACATCCAAATTAGCATACTCGTCAAAGGAATTCAGAATGATCTTCCCCCCCCCACCCAAAAAAAAAGAAGAAGAAGAAGCCAAAACAACTACATGAGCTCAGGGAATGGTCCATCCAGCAAACGGAGAGGAGTGCGTTTGCTGTGGACTCTCCCTGTTGTTCTACCAGTTGTTTCTCGCTTAATACTCTTCTTTATGTTGTTCTCTTTTGCTATCCGTGGATCCACCAAAACTGCATCCGAACCGTTTCCTACCAATCGGCGTGTTAGTTGCTGGGTCGTGAAAACCCGCGGTCTCTCTCACGCAGCTTGACCGGGTCCAAGTCCGGCACCGCGGTCCCCAGGTCCGGGTGGACGGTGGGGGCGACGGCCCAAACCAAGTGGAACTGGGAAGCCGGGAAGAGCTCCGAGAGCGAGTGGAGCATCCTGAAAACCTCGACCCTACTTTCCATCCCCTTGGTATGGATTCGCAACAAAAAAACTTTATTGTTGCAGCCCCCAACTAAAAGTGACTAACCCCCACCCCCTGCAGTGCTTGCCTTTTTGGCTAGTGCCTGCACAGACAGTTGTAACTGCTTCTGGTTAGTGGGAGAAAAAACCAAACAACAAACAAGTGAAAACTAATTCTTAAATTCAACTGTTGGTTGGTTGTTCGACTTGTTTAACGCGATCTTTCCGAACAGTTCAAGACTTCAAATCCAACCTAGCAGCCAAGTTTCACGACCAACCAAGGAGCCTCCCTGAACCGCTTGTTTGCCCTTGTTCTCCCGCTTTTTGTTCTCCTTGTTGACGCTCGCCGACCCCTGACCCTTTGGGAATGACAGGTATCTATTTAATTTCGATGCTCAACCCACATCGCAAGTACATGTTAATATCATGTAACTTGATTTTCCGGAGTTGAGGTTGGTCTCCTTAGGGCCCACCTTTCAGCAAGAACTTAAACCACGATCGACAGGACATCCATTTGGCCACTCTGGGAAGCCCAAAGGAAGCTATCGCAGGAAGCTATTGCATAGGGGAACCGATGGAGAGAGGTTCATGCCGCACAAAACCCTCCAAACATGTTCCACTTGCAACTGCAAGACAGTGTTGTTTGGTCCATCTTCCGTGAAGTGACTCTGCTGAAGATGGTCAATAAGCGTCTCACGAAAGCCATGAAAGGGAGTTTATTCCTGGATACGCCGCCACGAAAGGTTTAGTGAAAAGCCGAATTGTGTTTCCAAAAGTCTTTCAAAGGAGGCATCTGATCACACCAAAGAGCAGCCATAAAACAAGCAGAACATTAGCACTTACTGCTTTTAAGTCATTCTTTTTCAGTGATAGATTCACAAATGAAAATCACCAACATATCCTTAACTACCAGTTCCTTACAGGACTCTGGTAGCTCCGAAAGCGTCCGAAAGGCTCCCGCTTTAAAGGCGAATTTAGATTGATGCTCCCTCTCCCTTCCAACCACTGGCTAGCTTGGCTAGCTAAGCGGACCCCCCAAATATATATATATATATATGTGTGGTTTTCCTTTCAGCTTTCCCTTGAAGACTACCAAAAAAGGGGTCACCAGCTCCCAAAAATGATATACCCAAAGCTATCAAATATCCTTTAACCTCCATTGGCTTCTTCGCCCCCTGGAATGCATGAACAAATTTCCAGTCGTCAAATCGATGTCCTTTGAAACCAACAGGTTGGGCAAAAAGAAAAGCAAACAACAAACAACCTCTTCATTTCAGCAGATGGAAGGCAAAGCTCCGGGGACGTCTCCTCGGCCATCGCCCGGCGTGACCTTTACTCCGGGTTCCGGAACTCGGGAAGTGAGCCGAAACTTCCTGGGAAGCCTCCACTCTTCCTTTGACAGGGAAAATGTTCCACAGATCAAGTTCATGGGAAAAAAAGGGTAAGCAAAACACATCAAGCTCATGTTCCTTTGATTGGTGTGGAAAAACAAGCAAAACATGTTCCACGCCAATCTTCGCTCAGCTTAAATGGAGGGTCTCCGCATCCACCTCGACCTCGGCCGACCGACTCCGATCGACCGCGGAGCAGCGGTCCTCGCCGCCTGGGCCTCCGGCTCCGCGTGCTGCGCATGCTGCGCCTCCACGGGGCGCCGGGCCAAGACCCACTTCCGCTGCCTCAGCGCCGCCAGAGCGCTGGAGGGCGCCGCGCCCATCGTTTGGTGCGCCTTTCGCGAAAGCGGGCGGTGTTTGTTCTTCCCTTTTTGGGGGGGAAGGATTCTCGGGGATTTTCTCGGGGTTGGGTGTTGGTGGTTCTTCCTTTTTGTTTTTGTTTTTGAAGGTTTGCTTCTTTGCTCACTTCCGATCGACTGGATGGCCCAAAGAAAAGTAACCAAAGTGTTGGCTTGCCAATGGTCTTCCCCCCAAAAAATAGCCTTCTTGGTTTCGGGGTGGGAGGGGGGGGGGGTGGGATTCCCCTCGGAAAAATCGTGGCGTTCCTTTTGGCCTTGTTTTATAACCGCCCCCAAAAAGAAAACCCGCCCTCCAAAAAAAATGAGGCCTTGTGAGAGAAAGAAGCCCAGGCATCCCCAATCAACGGTCTCTGTGAGCTGAACTGGAGGCGAGGGCTGCTTCAAACCATGAGCTTGCTTGGGCACTGCATCGAGCATGCATCCCTCCTGGAAATATCACCCAAGCCCTGGCACATGGCAGACTTTCATCTCTACTCTTGGTATGGATTTGCGAAAAAAACTGACTGTTTTTTGCAGACCCCCAGAAAAAAAGGAACAGAACCAAAAAACCAAGAAACATGCCCAGACCAGCGAAGCTTTGCTTGAGAGCCCCTTTCTGATGACCGGCAAGGCCTGGTTGCCCTCACACGTTCGGAGTTCGGGGGAGGGCGTTGCGCATGGCCCCGGGAAAAAAGAGCAGATAATATGTCCGGCAGTGAAATCGGTTCCCTTTGAGGCCTAGAGGGGAAGCCACATTTTGTCTTAAGCAAGTGGAAGCAAACCACCAAACCTGCAACGCCGTAGTTGCAATATTTTTGTCAAACTTTCAGATTTCATCACACTTTGCCCAGTGGAAGTTGAAAACAGGCAACTTTTGCAAAGTTGCCTATTTTGCCATGTGGTACGCATGAGCATGGCATGTCAGCTCAAAAGCAGCCTTGCAACGCGCACAATCTGTCGCAACACCAGGCGAAAGACCATGCTACAGGTGCAACAGCGAACATTAAACACACGGCAAGCACGGCCACATTAGGCCATGTCAGGCACAGGCCACATCGCGCCGGTGCTCTCAGCTCCATGGCCTGCCATGGGCCCCAAGCGACGATGGTGTGTAGCAGGACTATATGCATAGCATTAATCTTGACCATGTCCCATGCATGCACGCACATGTTTTGCACCATTCTTTCATGAGATCAAGTTGCCATGCATGTGGTGCACCAACCATTGAGATCCTGCATGTGACATGTGGTCTTTGACCCTGACCGACGCCAGCCCTTCGACCCAGGCCGATCTGGCCTTCATCAAGTCCAACCTCGGCAATCACGCTGGCGTTGCTGGCATGTCATTGTGGGTGCCATGCAATGTTGGGTGAACATGCATGCTTTGCTTCCAATTGACGGCAGTTTCATTTACCCATGATATTTTGGAGCATTTTGGTTCAGTGGGAGAGGCAACATGCCTGAAGCAATGTGGCCTGATTGCGCCACTGGTTGGGAGGCGGATGGGAAAATCAGGTCTCGCTTCAGGAAGAAACTGCCATGGCTGCAGTGGCCCATCGTTAGCCGTGAGGACATCGGTGATGACCACAGCCCGAGCACGAAGGCTTTGGAGCTGAATTCGGGGGCCATGATTGTCATGCTGCGGTGCTATGGCACAGAGTTCATCGACGTTGATGGGCTTCAAAAACAGGTGCGCATGCCCACATTGCAACAACTGTTGTCAAAAACGGGTAAGCCTCAGATCACACCATTTTTATTCTGGCCCTGGCTTTCAGAGTGCTTGGCGTGCCCCCTTTTTTCTCCATGATTCAGCTGTTTTGTTTTAAATGAAATAATTAATTATAGCTGAAGTTGTTCTTCCCAATCGACCCTTCCCTCAGGTGGAACAGCTCTATGACCTTGCCAATGCACCGGTTGACTCGCCAACGCAGTTCTACCGCGAGGCATGGGACCTGAGGCGGCTGTTTACCTTCGCTTGGCGAAGGCAGCGTGATGCTGAGAAGAGGGGGCAAGCACCTAGAGAACCTCGATCATAATTGAGTGTTGTTGACTATTTTGATAGTTCTTTCCATAACCATGCTGTGATCATGATTGTTTTTTTGTTCTATGAGTCGCAACTCCTACAGGACGCTGGTGTGAAATCGCTTTTTTAAAAGATGATTGGCAAGCTACGTGCGCAATCTTTGGATCTTGATGGGGAATCGGGGTGTGATGCTATCGTTGACCAAGAGCTCTACCTTGAGGATGACACAGAGACCCCATCGATTGATACATCCTCAAGTGCTGCAAATGGGGCCCCGGAAGGTGAGAAGCTTGCCGACCAACTCCTGAACAGCATGACGAAAGAGGAGTACGATGAGCTTGCATCAGTCTTGAAAGAGATTGAGCTGCTTGAAGGGCGCCGCGTTTGCACAAATGGTCCATTTTGATACTTTGGTTATGGCGCTTTAAAACAAAGGGAATACCGGGTGTAGTTTCTTTGTTCTCCAGCTCACTTTGCACAATAAGGTCAACCTCGCCTGGCTTGTTGGGCCAGCCATTGGGCAGCAATTGAAACTTGACTGTGTATATGCACACGTTTCAGCTATGTGGAGTTTGGGGGGTTTAGTAACACGGGCTGGACCTTTCACAATGTTGGTTGATCAAAGCAACATTGCTGCATGGATCTTGCCCAGGCCAAAGGCCTGCAGATGCTGAGCCCAACATGCCCCCACCACCGCTGCCTAGCAAGGGATGCATCAACCCGGACCAGGACCATTCTTTTGTAAAACATCAAGGGCAAGGGTTGCAAACTTGATGTGGTGACTCAATTTCAAGGACCTGTGCCTAAACCAAGCCTGAAAAGTCCAATCTCTGAAAACAAACGACCGCAAACTGCATTCGTCCAAGCGCCCCTGCTAGGAGGAGACACAGCCGATCGGCGATCTCGCAGCGGCTTTGCCTGCGCACGAGACTCCGAGCCCCAAGACCGCAGCTGCCCTGGACATCACCCCGGAGAAGGCTTCTGGGTTAAATACCATTTTGCCTTAATTGTTTTTTTTAGTATTGGGGTTGTGATGTCTGTGTGTGTGAAAGCAAGTAACTGGGCTGAAGGTGGAGCTGCCGCAAACAAGTGCGTGCCCTATGGTGGCCCCAGCGCAGCAAACCGCGTTTGCAAAGCAAGCAAAGCCTGATGCAAAGAGAGGGGGCGTAAGCCAAAGGCAACATCATACACAAAATCACAGAGCTTCAAGCGCCGGAAATCTTTGAAGGACAATGGAAACTGGACAACCAAGAAGCGGACCAAGAAACAGACCAAAAAGCAGCGGAGCAAAGAAAAAAAAACGGCCGTCAGATTGTCATGGCTGAGAGGATTGAGGATCAGGAGGAGGAGGCAAAGCCACGCAGGAAGGCCAAGGCCACCAAGCCAAGGTCAAGCAGCTCAACGGACTTGCCCACTGGCAAACGCACCACAGCCAAAGCCAAGCCAAAGGATCAGCCACCAGCCGCCCCAAAGGCAAAGGCCAAACGCGCTAAGCCTTCCAAGCCATCGACCAGAAGCGCACCCGCTCTGAGCAAGGGGCGGCCTTCCAAGGTAAAGCAAACCAAGGTCATTTACCCGGCCACGAAGGAAGGTGGAAAGCCGCAGTGGACCTACTTTGTGCTGCCTGAGCAGTACTATGGTTGCCGGACATGCCGGTTCATCTACAACGGGTGCCGCCTCTGCCGCAAGGACACCTACGCTGGTAAGCGGGCGGCGGACATGCGCCAGGAGCAGGAGGAGATGGCGCAGGCTGCGGCCGAGGGCCCCATGGACGACAGCAAAGATGTTGACTAGCGCTGCAATCAGTCCAGGTGTTTTGCCAGCACATGATGTATATCGTTTTCAGCATGTTTTGACATTGTGATTTGGAGGTGGCCCATACAAACACAGTATCAAGTTTCTAGAGTATGTGCGTGTTCATATGGTGGCCCCCGTAGCCCTTAACTTTTTCAACAGCTTGTCCTTGGTTGTTTATGTTTGGGTTTGTGCTGCATTCCTTCATCCCCTTGTCTTCCAATTAAGGCACTGCTTGCCGCAGCTGGTGAAGGAAGCCTGATGTGCTTTTTCAATCATGGGTGGCAATTCGATAGAATTGCATTGGGGTGGCTGCAAGTATTTGAGAGGGCATGCTTGAAATCCTTCTCAAGGAAGTGGGCAGCCATTGCAGTTTGCGTTTTCGTAGGAACATCCTAGAAGGCATCAAATCTTAGCGTTGTGCATTGGACACACGCATAGCAACAAGCTTGCTGGTGGAAAAAAGACACCTAGGTTGCATCAGCCAATGCGTGACATTGTTGAACAAAGCTGGGGAGGTTGGGGGAGCCAAGTTTTCTGACTGCAAAAGTCGAGCCCTGTCCCGTGCCAGGCCTTGTCTTCATGAGCTCGAAGTGGAAGATCCGGCACGGTTTCCTGAAGCGAGGTGCGCCCCCCCCATCCGGTCGCTTTGAGTGCGAAGGGAATGAACGTTGTGCTTGAGTTGTGCTGCAAGTAGTTGGCGTTGCAAATGCATGGACCTTGAAGTGTGGGCAGCTGTTGGCACAATCTTGCATTTGGATTGGACAAGCATGGGCATGGGTGGAAAGGCATGCTACATTGCAGTGCCACAGCAATCACACCTCCACAAGCGAACGTGCAAACATTCGTCAGAATCACACAAAACATGCTATATAGGCTCATGCATGCATCTTTGAGTTCAACACCATGCCAGCCATGAGACGATCGACCCTGAATTTTGTGATGCAACGCATGATGGAAATGCAAGCGCCCGGGGTCCAAACCCCAGTGAGTTATTCCTGGCACTCATGTTCTCGATCGGAATGATTTGAGGTGCTGTTGATTGTGACCCTGCTGGTGGCAGATATGGATGGGCTCAACTGGGATCAGGCGTCATGCATGTTATGCATGCATCAAAAGCTGTAACATTCACTGAACATTGCAATTTCTGTACCCAGCATGTTGCATCGTGACCAGGCGTA